CGTACGTCTGTCTGGACGATGATCGGTTGACAGATTTGGTTCAACGATTATAGGCTGATACCTTATTGGCATATGACTTATTGCTCCAGAAAGAGCTGACCACTAGCAAATATTCGAACATGACTTTATTCCCGTCTTCTGTTAACAGTGAACAAAGTCAATATTTCACCCAGTATTTATTCGTCGATACAATACCTGGTCTGTATTAAGTGTTTCATTCAGTGCTTAAGCTAACCCGGATGGATTTTGCAATATATTTGAGCTTTCATGTTCGAATCGTAATACAGACCTTAGATCATGTATCGAGTAATACATACCCCAGGGCTAGGCATAAGCGCTTTCAAACCCCTCACTCCCTTCGATCGGTAGGGGTACATAAAACGTTTGTAGCTAGCCCTGCGATATTTATTCGTCGATATAATATACCCGCTCTTGGGTCTATATTTCTTAAATTATTAATGGGAATTTATTAATTATCCCTCCAAAGAAGTTTGGGTATGGATGTGGAAAAGCCTTCTGTGTGTCCATTCGTTCATCTGTCTTTGTCGTCCAATCATTCGTCTGTCCGAACGATAAAATATAATTACAGGAATAAAAAAGTATTGTTCTTCAATGGGAGGTAAACCTTAATCGAAGGCATTTTTCAGAGTTTGGTTGACATGCCATGTCATTGGTTTATATTTCGCAACAAAGGAGACAATTACTAACTTACTACCTGGTTATTTCTGTCAGGAAATGCTTAAAATATGTTTGTTTGGATCTACTTCTCCGGGTTGCTGTTTTTTCTAGTGTCATCTCTCATATCATATTCACTCATCCTTCCTTCATAATACCTACTGTTATAAAGCCATGCTATATCGTCTATTGTTCAGATTGCCGTGTTGGAATAAACAAAGTTAAATATTTGGAAAGGACTGGTATCGATATGGCGAACTGAATTACCCAAATGCGAGTAGGTAGTTACCAGTTCCACCACCAGGTGGCTGGTTCGGGTCAATTAACATGGCAGGTATATAAGAAAGTTCCCTTAAACTTGAATATTATCAATTTAAGTGGCTCAATTTTTATATAACCCTTATGTGCCTGATACTTATACTAATGAAAATATGTCGAGCAAAGCAAAATATTATCTGTCCACTAAAAGAAAAAATATTACATTTTTTGTGATTTTATAGCATGGGGTCTATGAGGAATCTTCCCGAGCTAGAAGTCACATTTTCATAGAAAATTAATTTTTCAAAGTTGATAAACACTTTTTAAAACCACATTTCTAGATGTAATTTTACATGTAGATTTCAAATATGATATTACTTTGACTGAATTTTGAATTTTTAATGACGTATATCAAGATTATTTCTACTCGCATCTGGGTTATTAAACATTGTTTTTTTTAAACCAATTATTGAAAACATTCTGTAAAAAATCACGGTCCTTTGTGTAATGGTCATTGATTGACAACAATTTAATGCAAAAATTATCTATATATATTTTACATAACTGTTTTTGTTAACATTTTTTTTTGTTTTTAATGTCATTGTTCTTTGTTCCTTTGTACCAATTCTTGAGAATGAAATGAAACATCTATCCCAACCTCATTGGAACAAAATGACATATACACAACGTGTTGGGTCTCCCAATATTTTAATTGTACAAAGGAAAGTTTGGTTCATTTAACAAAAAGTATTCAAAAAATCAAAACAAAAAAATCCAAAATAGATAAAAAAAAAAGTAAACCTTTTATTTCATTAAAAAGATACTTTTTTTAAATGAACCAAACTTTCCTGTGTACAATTACAATATTGAGAGACCTATAAAGCACGTTGTGTATATGTCATTTTGTTCCACTCAGGTTGGGATAGATGTTTCATTTCATTCCGAACATATGATACCAAGAACAAAAGAAGTGTCTGCTGCGTTTTCTAAAACAATATAGTTACCATTCAAAAGATGATCATTCAATTGACGATGAATAAAATTTTCAGATTTTTTGATGACTGATTTAAGAAAAACATGTGCTCAATTCGATTCACGATATCCATACCAATCCTTTAGAAATTGCAGTCATGAAGCAATATCATAAAATTTTACAACTCTTGGGTTTAGATAAAATATCACTGTGGATGATAGTTTATGTTTTTCTTTTTTGTGATGTTAATAAAGGTTCCCCGGGTGTTTTTCAATTAGGCCTAATGTTTTAATTGGTGCCAAGACGATGGTAATACATGGTCAAATAGTGAACGACACATAGTGCAAGTAAGGTCTTACTATTTGATAGGCTCAAGCAATTTATCAATCCATTAAGTCACTCAACTGTTTGCCTATCTGTCACGCGAAATATGAAACCATAAATAATCCAGATGGTGATAGTATAAGTGATTTATAAGAAGAAGAATATAAGAATAACATTTTCCTTTATTTTTTTACAGAATTAATAAGTAGGTACATAAATATAAACAAAATACATGAATAGGATAATGACAATCCCCCCATTAGGTTTAACAGGCATAATGATGGATGATGCGACTGGCCCACTTTACACCTTTGTTTCCCACAAAGGCACGTCGTACATCGATCACATTGCTGTATCTGAGGAATTAATTCCTAACGTATTGTCCTGTGTGGTACTTCACGAATCAGCTGATCTTACATCTGATCATCTTGTGGTTAAATCAAAACTGGAACTGATTGGCATTAAGCCAGTTCGTCATGTGAGTAGCTCAAAAAAGGTCTATGCTTGGAATAAGCTGACACGTGAAGATATCAATGAGGTATATACTTCTATTGTAGAACAAAAGTTAAGTAATATATTACATGAAATGTCCTTAAATGATTATACCGGCTGTTCAAATGAAGAGATTGAGTGTCTGGTAGAAACTTTCACTGATATTTTAATTGAGTCATCCATAAATGTACCGTGCAAACAATTTCTTAAACATCAGAAGCCCTTTTGGTCATCAACTTTAACTGAACTTGTTAACGCTAAACGTATATCGTGGAGATTGTGGGTGCGAGCAGGCAGACCCCGAGCACAGGGGAACCAATTACTGGTTAATTATAAACAGGCTAATAAGCAATTTAAGAAGGCATATCACCAAGTGCAAAAGGACTATGAAATTGATGAATTAAAAAAGTTGTATGATTCCGAATTCCTTGACCAACGTTTATACTGGTATTTGGTGACAAAGAGTAGGGGGTCTAAATGTGATAAAGTCCAAACTATTCGAGACGATAATGACGATCTTCTCTCAAATCCTAGCGATGTAAGAAATGCCTGGAAAACTCACTTTCAAAATCTAGCATCTCCTAAGGAAAGCCCGCACTTTAATGAAGCATTTCGAAAACACGTAGAGTCACAGATACCAACACTATGTGCTAAATCACTGGGAAATGTCAATACTATTCTTGATCGAGAAATAAGTCCCCAAGAAGTGCAGGAAGCCATTATGTGTTTAAATAGTAACAGGGCATGTGGTTGGGATGATATTTCTGCAGAGCACGTAAAATACGGTGGTCAGAATCTAATTAGGTTGTAACTAAACTTTTTGTAATGATTTGTAAACACGAGTATATTCCAAGTAATTTTTGCATGGGACTCCTAGTGCCTCTTTTTAAGGGAGGGAATAAGAGTCCCATAGAAAGAGATAACTATAGGGATATTACCCTTATGACAATTCTGAGGAAATTGTTCGATAACGTGTTGTTAATGCGTAGCAAAGACGCCCTGCTGAAACATATACCGCTCTTTTCTGGTACAAGAGACAATCGCTCACAATATTGACAAAGGGAGGACTGTCCTGTGTTGTCTATTAGACATCCGTAAAGCCTTCAATACCATGTGGATCGATGGGTTCCTATACAAGTTATATCACTGTGGTATTAATGGCAAATTCTGGCGAATAATGTACCAGTCGTTTAAAACGTACAAATGCGCGGTTTTAAGTGCTGGTGAGCAATCAGATTGCTTCAGCGTACAGCAGGGGGTCCATCAAGGAGGAATTTTGTCGATGTTGGTCTACCAGTATTACCTAGCAGAACTTCTTAATGATGTCACGGGGTTAAAAAAGGGCCTTACAATAGGACATATAGATGTCTCTGCTGCAGCCTACGCAGATGACTTGACACTGATGGCACCCAGTGTCCAAAACATGAACTATCTTCTGAATGCCGTATGGCAATATAGTCAGATGTGGAGAATAGAATTCCACCCAGGGAAATGTGTGATGTTAGCTTTCGGAAATAAGCTTCCAATAAACGAACCAGTTAAGCTTGGCCATGATACAATCACGTTGAAAACTGGCGCGATTCATGTTGGAATCCCACTCGGCCAACGTACCGACTATATTACAGATGTCATAAGCAGGGGGAAACGGAAATTCTTTTCACTGTTAGGCCTCGGTTCTCTGACAGGGGGTCTTAGTCCCCTCACTGCCAGTAGACTATATACTACGTATTCCCTTAACACAATGCTGTATGGTTGCGCCGTTATACAGTACACCCCACAGGAAGTAGAACGTCTTGAAATAGTACACAGAGAGATTGGTAGACGAGTTCAAAACCTACCGAAGGGGTCTGCCAACCCAATAGCTACAGCTCCATTAGGTTTAAGTAAGATATCCAGGAAAATAGATATATATAGGTTAATGTTCTTCTGGGGAATCTTGAGCTTACCTATGAGTAATATTTATAAATGCGTTGCAATCCACAGACTCGTTCAAATAATGAATGGTGTTGGGCACTCTATGTCACCTCTAGTTAGTATGTGGAACACAGTTGTAAGGTACAATATGAGAGGTAGTGTTGTAAAAATGTTAGGTACAGCGCAATATGGGTCGAAATTCAGTTGGAGCAAAAAGGTAAAAATGATCGTCGGTAACTCTGATTTACAGAGTTTAAGAATCATGTGCTCATTATATAGTTCTTTGAAATGGTATTGTGAATCTTAAACGACCACACCTACTTTATGCCCTACTATTTGGTGGAAAATTTGTCAAGAATTTCCAATGATGAAAAAATCATGCCAGCTCATGTTACATTTGCAAACCGGTTGTTTCAGATTCTCCGAATCGATGTGTCCTTGTTGCAATTCTTGTTATGACACAATTGAGCACTTCATGTTGCATTGTGAAGCACTTGCTGATGTTAGAAGACCCTTGGCAATATTTGGTGTTGGGCACTCTATGTCACCTCTAGTTAGTATGTGGAACACAGTTGTAAGGTACAATATGAGAGGTAGTGTTGTAAAAATGTTAGGTACAGCGCAATATGGGTCGAAATTCAGTTGGAGCAAAAAGGTAAAAATGATCGTCGGTAACTCTGATTTACAGAGTTTAAGAATCATGTGCTCATTATATAGTTCTTTGAAATGGTATTGTGAATCTTTAACGACCACACCTACTTTATGCCCTACTATTTGGTGGAAAATTTGTCAAGAATTTCCAATGATGAAAAAATCATGCCAGCTCATGTTACATTTGCAAACCGGTTGTTTCAGATTCTCCGAATCGATGTGTCCTTGTTGCAATTCTTGTTATGACACAATTGAGCACTTCATGTTGCATTGTGAAGCACTTGCTGATGTTAGAAGACCCTTGGCAATATTTTTCAATGAAATGCATTTAATGTCAAATGACCAGAAAATGAGAATGTCTCTCGGGATTCAAGTGTCAATAGATGACATTGATACGCTAGTTTTTATCTCAGGAATAGTAACTCAAATGTATACTAAGCGCAATTCATTGATCTCATAGAATGGCATTTACTAGGCTAATCACATGTAGTGTGGTATGATAATATCATTCTTGTAAATGGTACTATATAATATATGTATTTTTATACCTTTATTCCTAATTATATACTGTATGCAATGTAACTGTCTTTTTATAAAAGATGCAAATAAATTATACATACATACATACATAAGCCAAACACATGCTGTTGATACTGACTGACGTTGTTGGTGTGCTCTCTCTTTCACGCGGTACTAACTTCGTCCAAAGGCAAGTTTGAAAAAAAACGGTGCAGTATGAGACTCGCAATCCTTGATTTTCAAACATCTGGTAGGTCAAAAATTCAAATTAACGGTCGAAGTTAGTACCGCGTGTCTTTGAAAGTTTAAGTTATATTGATAAAATATTGAATTTGAATGTTAAGCCTATTTCAAGGAATGAATTTTCAAGATTTTTTTGGCGAAAATGTAATATGGCTTATCAAGTGTCAAATGTTGATCGTCTTATGAGAATAGTTCTTTTACTCCAGAAGAAAGGACATAGTGCAATTATGGGCAAATATCCCCATGGTCAGAATGAATCATTTTAGGTGCAACATGAAGAATACAATTTCACATAATAGTTTGGAAAAAATTTAAGCATTTGGGCCCACATGGGCTGAGGTTGAGGAAATCATAATGGAGAGTGCACTACATCCTTTGTAATATGGCTGCTGAACTCAAAATGGCCACCATTTTCATTAAAAATGTATTCTTTGATCACTCAAATACAGGTGGATAGATTTGATTCTTTTTATAGGCTGTTGTCTGAGGGTCATATAATACCTCTGCTTGAAAGGAATTTTTTTCAAATGACCACTAATTCAAAGTGGTGGTGGTCATTTTTCATGAAAATTGTTAATACTGGTTCATCGGTTTTCGTCCAAGTTTTAAAGACTTAAGTGTTATGGGAATAAGACCATGCTCAAGAAAAAAAATCAAACACGACTGTTTATTTCAGTCATGGCCACCGTTTTTCATGAGAAATGTAATTTTGATAATCCAAACTCCAAAGCGAATTTCGTTCAAATAGTATAGGCTGGTGCCCAAAAATGAAGAAGATGGTTGCCGAAGTAGAAGTGACTGTCATTTTGTTGTAAAATGTAATCGTTTATAACTCATAACTAGTAGTCAAATTTGGTTTGGATTTTATGTCCTGATACCTCTTAGAATTTGAGCTTCGACATAGGAAAACCGGTCTTATCAGTTATCACAAAAATTGGAATTGTGCTACAGAGCCCCAAAATGTGCCCAAGATTAAGAGGGAAATGTGCTTAATTCAAATCCGTCTTTTTGGACTATATCTGCAAGGAAAAATTGTTAAGACATTAGCAGTGGCTCATTTGAAAGGTCTCTGTACTTTTTAAGGTAAACAAAAAATCTATGTATAAATTGGTGACGTTTTTTAAAAAAATCTATGATAGGACCCCTTTTCCCGCCCTGGCTCATTTAAAGATGGCTACTGAAATCAAAATTTGAAATGGCTACCAGGAAAATGTGACATCCCAAATAATGATCAAACATACAGATAAGCAGTGTAATTGCCAGGACGAAAGACCCAGGCCAGAACTTTTGAAATCCCATGCCTAGAAGCACAGGCTGGCATCGAAAGATTTGTCCGCTATGACGGAGCATGCTATTTTTCATAAAAACACTAAGAATGCTTCACGATCTATTTTTTACTCATATGTTTCGTTATATCAAAGATAATAACTTACTCCATGCAATGGATATATCATTTGCGTGTAACCTTCACTTCTGTTTGAAGTCCAATAACGCTAGGAGTAAAATCTATTGAAAACGGCGCCAGAGTATCAAACTCTAAAATGTACCATTTCTTTTTTAACTTTTTAATGGCATGATATAGTGACACGATAATATTAACATATGTTTTAAGCATACCTCTGAATGTATTAATGAGATATTAATGCATTGGGTCTTTTTAGTTTTTTTAATAAAAAATAATATTAATATTTTTTGTCCGCTGTGACGGAGCATTTTCACAGTTCACATTTGCAACTGCTCCGTCACAGCGGACAAAAAAATTAAACATTATTTTTTATAATCAACATCTCATTTATACCTTCATAGTTATGCTGAAACCATGTGTATATACTTTCAGTACATCGTGTCACTATATCGTGCCATTAGAAAGTTAAACAAGAAATGGTACATTTTGAAGTATGATACTCCGGCGCCATTTTCAATAGCTTTTCTTCCCAGCGTAATTGGACTTCAAACAGAAGTGAAAGTTACCCGCAAATGATATATCCATTGCATGGAGTAAGTAATTTTGTATGGTATAACGAAACATATGAGTTAAAAAATAAATCGTGAAGTATTCTTAGTGTTTTTATGAAAAATAGCATGCTGCGTCACAGCGGACAAATATTTCGATACCAGCCTGTGAGAAGAGGTGGAATTATTTCAACTCAGAGAAATTGTTATGATTTTACAAAAATTTGCAATCAGTATCGTGTCGCTTTTTTAAATTCCGGCAATTCTAATATAAATATATATGCGCAGGTGCCAACGTGAAAGTAATTTCAAATAATAATTTTGAAAAAACTCCGCTTTTCAAAAATTCTTCAATAATTTCACTTTTTAACAAATATCTCAATCTCTCTTTTTCAGATTACAAAATCAGCTGTGAAAGTGACACATTTTGGCATGCTTTTAAATCACAATCCTACCACAAGACACCCTAGCAATACAATACATTAATAGTACTGTGTCTCCATCATTCATGATAAACTATGACATCTCATTTCTTCACAGCCTTGAGATGTTTCTGGTGAAACAGACAGTTGTTATGAGTATCAGAATGATATGTCAAGATGTTAAAAATGCACAACAAGTCAAAGACATTTGGCGCGTGTGTGACGTGCCATGAATGGATTCAATATTCAAGATTTTATTGTGTTTCAAACCAAACATTTGGCTTCCTCACAAAATGAAATACAAGACATTCACATAATTGCATTAAATCATCAGAAGTCACTTACCGTCTGCAAAGAGAAAAAAGGTGCAAGGTCCTTTATCAATCATATCTTTTTGATTTTTCTTTGTTAACTATTTATACCAAACATTCAGAGGTGTATACTTTGACCAAATGGAGAAAATTTCAAAGAATTTCGTAGATACAGTAAAAAGTTAGAAAGAATTGAATAGGACAAGTCACAAAATCGTAAGTGTGACTTTTTACTATAAATTGACGTCATTAATATGAGGAATCCAGGAATGTGCTCAATGAGGGGATCTTGTGAGGCATGAAATTAAATTGTTAATTAAATATTAGAAGATGGGTTTTGGCACTACCATAATATTCAGTCAGTGTGTTAACCATCACAGAAAGTAAGAAAATGCTTTTAATCCTCTACTTCCCCTTGTTGCTAATTTGACAAATGCTTTCTTTATTCAATGTATTAATTTCTAATTAGAAAACTGAACTATTGACGTCAATCCTTTTAGGTGAGTTACAAAAATCTTTTTAAAAGAATATGCTTAATTCTAAACCTATCGTTGTTACCATGGAAACCACGATGTATTGGAAAAAAACAATAGACTTAAGAATTCTTACTTTAATTACTCTTCTGTTAAAAGGCATCAGGGTTTAGAGCTTGCATTCAAGAGTATAATTTCTAATCAGCTTGGACCAAAGTCAACTCAGACCTTAGTTGACTCGAACCTTAAGTCAACTTGCACCCAGGTTAACTCAAATGGACTCAAATTTCTTCATCCTGGGTTTCAATATTTTGTCAGGGGTGCATCACTCAAGTAGACTATCGATACCTGGATTTCCTTCACTCTTAGTTGTCATATCATACTTTTATATTTCATTTTTCCACGATTTGGAAATAAATTCAGAATATACTCCGGTAATATACTATACCCGGATATTATACACCCTTCGGTGTCGACAAATTATTGTTTCTTCATCCTAGTTGAAACCCAAGGTAGGCATTTATAAAAACGCCAGTGCGTAGTGTTGAAAAGTGAGAGTAAAAAGGCTTATTAATTTTTTTATGTTCTTCAGTCATATTTTCTCATTGTGCATAAATTGTAAAAGTAATCTCGAGCACACTAACCTAAAGAAATGTTTTTTGATACCATATGATATGCTCGATTTTTCAATAGTACTCTTTTGCATGGTTTTTGCGCCTCTGTTATTTTCTAACCATTGCCGCAGATAAATGACACTTTTTGAAAAATTAAATTCATGAAATATTGAATTAGTATTAAAGTATTGAAAGTTAAGTATCTTGTTTCTAATACTGTAGATAATGCAAAGTAATCATTATTGCTCTTTTCGGTAAATAATTATTAAACAGATCACAAAAATCGAGCCACTATTGACTATCTTGTGCATTCTTAAAATAAGTTACAATTTCGCCAAATATTTGTGAATCGCGTTCTCTTTCCGAATTTGAGATAAAAACAGTTTATTTCTACTACTCGATGAATACCTTTGCAGCTTTTGTGCATGTTCCGAAATGCTTAAGCAGGATTTATCTATTTTCTTACTAAATCTAATTGTTTTTAATAGTACTTCTTGAAATATGAATGTAAAAGACAAAAAACAGCTTGAAATATATTGTTGATTATTCAATTACACGTTCAATTGATTTCAATGAGTTTTGGCGATACCTGCTATCTTTGAAAGTACATAAAGTACAACTTTAGTTCTGGAAATGCTATTATCTTCATTTTTGGCACCCCTAAGTCACGTTGACCTCGATTTGACCTTTGTAGAGGGGGGGGGGTTATTTGGTCTTGTAAATTAGTGTTAGTTTGCAGACATTAGGGTTAATTGTATCATTGATCACAAATATGTTTCTTCAAATCGATTGATCATACGAGTTTCTTTAATCTGTATTGTCGCATGGCACGATACACAATGGAATCAGACCGATGTATCTAAATTCAATTATTCAGAAGTGGTTAGAAATCTCTCATTGTTATCTGGAAAGTCGTCTTATCATTCGAGAAAAATTACAGTAGGCTTAACATGAGAAAAGAGAGAATGAGTTGTGTCGAGATTTAAAAGATAGGCTTTCCACGATGATTTTATACATGTTATATGCATTCGAACATTTTAAGTTCATTAGAAAGGTACATGTATTGCCATTGAAATGACATTAGTACAAGCACAAAATAGGCGTTTTGATATCTGGAAGATTTGACAGTTGTTTCATTTTTGGCGTAGTGTTGAAGTTACACATTCCTACGCCCCTAGCCTGGTATCGTCCATATTTTTAAAGAAAACTATTTCAAAGTTGATCACAATCTGAACTTCAATTCTAGATCTGATTTTGTATGTAGATATCACATAGCCTATATGATATCACTTTGACTTTTTGAATATTTGCTGCTTAAAATGAATATTGTTGGAAGGTTGACTCAATCAAATCATCAGAAAACTCAGGCAGAAACCATGCCAAAAGCATGTCATTTTTAAAAACACCGGGTAAAATATAATGTTCTGTACGAAAAAGGCTTGGAGCATACGTTATTACATTTCCGATTGTTGTGGCAACCCGCACTACTTTCTGAAGAATACCATTACGCGAGTATGTTCTTTTATTTAGAATTTAACAGAAGTACACATCAAATACAAATAGACATCACTATACAATTAATGTTTTGAACCAAAAATCTTAATTTAGATGGTTTAAAACTCCAAAAGTTTTCTTCTTATTATTAGGACTACATATATTTGCGGATAAGTTATTATTTATAATTGATGCGCGTCGGCCAAAAATTGATTTCACATGGATGATTTTTAACAAAATTGTCTCCAAATTACATACATATTATGGACAAATGAAAGAGAATCTAATCTTTTCGTTTAGGCAGGGCATACTGTAAGTACATTTTTATTACCGTACCTTGCATATTTGAACTTTTTCGTCTTTGATTCTTAAGATTTATTACGGGCGAAAGTTCTAAACTTTCAAAAAGTGGAGACTGGTAAGCTTTCCTATAAATTGACTCTAATTAGCTTAGACATAAACACTTTCACATTTCCAAATAATTCATATATTTACCATGGTCTTCGTTTTGAACGCAAAAAAGATATTGTCAATGACATAGACATAGATGTCTAGCCTTAGCCCTATAAGTCAAAAAGGTCAAATGAGAATATTCAAGTGTTTATTGCATGGGCTTTCAATGAGAGTTGAAAGCCCATGTTTGTTCCGAATAATCTATACATCGCAATGTACATTGTCAAAAGTAATTCTGATGATGCATCGGTGTGATCTGCTAAAAATCACCTTATTCTATCTCGTTTTCATGCCTTCTCATTCCTTAGTTGACTTTTCAATCTTCTCGGATATGCAATCACTTTGAAAATGTTTAGTTGTTGAAATTAACCAATTGCCTCAGATTTTTCACATTTTTTCATGTTACTGAAGTATTACCTATTTGTTGCATTCAGTTATGGCTATAAATACCTATAACTGTAATATAATTGCAATCCAACTTAGTTAATTAATGACTTTCATACTTTCAGTACATCAACATGTCTGACCAGGACTCAGGCGTACCCTCTGTTGACAAGGAAGACTCTATTGAAGAAGACATAGATAAAGGAAAAGATGAGCAGTCCTCTGACAGGCCAAATAGTAGTGTTAGTAATGATGAAAAGATAAGGCCTTTGAGTCAACAAAGTAACATATCTCAAGAAAGGCCAAATAGTGGGTCAAGTGAAAAATCTTTGGGAAATAAGGATGAATCATCAACACTCAATGACAGTAAAACAGAAATAAAAATACCAAGTCGACCAACAAGTTCTGGAAGTAATCGATCGAGACCAAAGAGTGGAAGTAGCACATCTTCAAGACGCAGGAGCAGAAAATCAAATTCTCCACCACCTAACTCACACAGAGTCACTTTTCAAGTCACCATAGCACAGGCAATTCCTACAAGTAAATATATGTACTTTATGGGAGAGGCATAAATTTTCACTATATGGGCTTGCCAAATAATTCCATTTTATGATTTCTTTTAACATTTTTTGAATAAAGGCTTTACAAATTGGATAATTTATTCACAAGAAGACAGGGTTCTCACCAAGAAAATTTTAGACCCAGGATATTTCACAGTATCGCAACTTCTCCCCCATGTGAGATCAGAGATATCCTATTAGTATACTTTTCAAAATACTATATCTTAAGATTTAATATCGTCCTATTTTAATTATGTTATACATTTCTAAAAGGTTTCTGACTTCATATTCCTTGTTTGTACCCAGTTTTATGTATTTTCTTAAGAGTTTACCACAAATAATGTGACAAAAATGTAAAATTAGACTCCGGAAAAAACACTTCAGACTCTGGAAAAGCTATTAGACTCCGGAAAAAAGACATTAAACTCTGGAGAATTTCCGGAGTCTAAAAGAATAGTGAGAACCCTGAGAAGAGATATTGATTCAATCTGTATTTCCATTAATCTATTAATCCATTACATGAGAACTAATAAATTATTCTTTGCAGGTTTACATTAACAGGATATTATAAATCTAGGTAGCCTTGGTAACTGACTATGTAATCTTGTTTTCCTTCCTATAACATGATAATGATATATTATAATGTAGGGCTGCCATCGAACTCAAATGTCAGTGTCGACAGTCGAACTCTGCTGTCGAAAATATTGTCGACAATCGAACTTTCCAGGGAGAAAAAATCATCGGGAAAAAAAGAAAAATTATTTCTGTGTTGTTGGTTCGTTTTTTCCAAATCTTTCAACACAAATATCATACAAATGTTATGTAATTGCCTAATATTGTTACTAAATGCCAAGTTAATAGAATATTATAGACGAAAATGGGACAAATACCTGCAATGTTTCGACCGGGATTTATTTCGACTGCTCGGGCGAAATCTCGTACAACGTCTCGCAAGAGAGAAGAGAAGTCATGAAGGGAACTTCCGGGTGAATTTATTTTTTGAAAATGAAATGAATGTGAACAATATTTCCGCAGAATACGCGCACATAACACGTTGAAATGTGTATTGAAATGTATTGGGGCCATTTGGATATTTTCAAGTAAGTATTGATATCGTTTGCTGTCGACATGACGGGAATTTTTGTCGACTTCGTTGTCGAACTTGCATTTTGACTGACAAGTCGACGTTCCGACTAATGATGGCAGCCCTATTATAATGGCAATGTAATTACTTCTTTATCAATGAACTCACAGTAATTACTACAATCTAACCTGACATTTTTACATTAATGATACTGCTGGTAGCACAGTGCAAGATTGGATCAATTTTAATGTAAGAATTTTGAAGTTTGTTACCATTTAGGAAAATATTTTAAATTGAGATAATTAACATCAAAATTTTGGTCAATATGCAGCTAATTTGTTTCTGTAAACTCATTTCATCAACTTAATAAGGCAAGCTAATGAGTTTCTATGACTACAGTACATCATAAGATAGAGACTGACACTGTAAAATATCAGAGACACCTTCTAAAATACACCTTCAATACATCCCCTATACAATGTACAGATGTAATCCTAATTTTATTGTATGATAAAGAGAAAAGTCGATATCTGATCAGATGTAGAAGTTACTAAATGTTCATGAAGGTGAAGCAGTTTCCGAATTGATTTGGTTTGAAAGAGAAGGTCCAGTTTTTCAAATGTTTTGCCTGATAACCTTAAAGATCAAAGAAATAATTAATGGTAATGATTACCTTAAGATATTTGAATAGGACCAAAACTGTGACATAACTTTAAGAGTAATAGAGCAGTATGTATTCAAAGTGATTTTGTCCAACCTCTTTATAGGCTTGTTGAATTATTTCCAAATAATTTTTATCTCTCTGGGTAAAAAATGAAAAAAAGTATTTTGTTGTCTGTTGTTTCAATTAGCATGCCAATGTTATTAATACAGGTAATTATAATTAATGTTGTATTAATTAATAGCTGTTCATTAAGAGCAAGAGATATACACATGAGATACCAGCTTGCAAATTGACTGAGCTTAGTCTATATTAATATTTTATAGCAGATAGAAAGAGACAATCAATACAGTCTATTGTAGTGCCATATCCGAGCATTGCCTCACTGTCAGTATAATTACTCTTGGCATGCAATGATCAATCTTATCGACTCTAGGGTTCTAAACATTGAAGGCAGTTTGTTTCTGTATTAGACATGAACAAGTGATCATCATGTATGTATTTTATAAAACACTCAATTTGCCTATTCTCAATTAATGTGACATTATATAATGTTAAAAAGCTGGTCAAAATAGTACTGTTAACTATTATCCCTTTGAACAAAGTTTTTTATGGATATAGTACATGTAAATGCCTCCATCTGTCATTTAGTCAGTCCACACAAAGTCTGTCCATCTGTCTGCCCATCCATCTTTCTGTCTGGAGCATTACTCAATTAGGAGATGGGTTTGCTTCACTTTTGGGAGAAAGATGCAGTGCTGTAATTATTACCTTTTTCTCTGTAGTCTACATCATTAGCCATTTAAATGAAAAAATAGGAGCAACAACTGAATGATATCTTTTAAGTTTTTATTACTTTAATTTACTTCAGTTATTGATGAAGATTCAGCAGATCTTCGGGCATCTCTACATAAGAAGAAACGTATCGTGGAAGCACCAAGGGCCCAGAATTATTTCCATTCAGAATATTTCCTACTGCCTGATGATGCTGAACCTGTTAAGACAGATGTTGTTACCTTTGGAATGGCTGCCAAGGTTTACCCTGAGAAACAAGAGCCTAAGGTTATCAAAACTTGGATAGATGGAGAAACAACCTGGGTAGCATGGACACACAGGTTGGTTTCATTGTTAAGTCACTTGTTTTAAACCCAATCAGTGATACAGCATGATCGATTGCAGGCCTGTACCCAGGGAGATTCGAACAAAATGTCTCTCCCTGCCAAACATACTTTTAAAATGATGCAGTTTTCACCATTTTGAGCACTTTACAAGAGAAATTGGGCCAAAATTATCAAATGTGAACCCCCCCCAGGAATCTTTTAAAAACTGAACCCATTCTGACAAAAGCTGGATATGAGCCTGTTGTTCATGTTTTAATAAATAATGGGAACAAGCACATATTATGCAAATGTTTATTGTTTTGAAATTCATATGAGACAAAGAACAATTTAAATTATTTGATCAGGGTCTCATGAATATGATGCATAAATCACCCAGAAGACCAATAAACAGGCCCATCAGACATTACTTCTTGAAGGGGTGCGCGGTTTCACAAATTCTCACCGAAAGTAGTTGTATGATGCCAGAGATACACTGATTTTAGATCTATATTGATGGTTGATTAAACCTTTAATTTACTGCATAATGAACAAGTACAGTAAAGGATTTTTTCTGAAATTTCTGAGGTGGGCAACCAGACCTTACGCACCCCCTCCCTCCCCACCATCCAACAAGCTTGATATATTATTTCAAATTGCTTCATATCAATACTTCCAGCCATACAATTGATGTTACGCACGATATGCTGTTGAAACTGTACAGGCACAATCTAGAGCTCAGGATCTGGGATACGAAGGATAAAGTGTCAACAAGAGCCCGATTTGACAGACCTAAAGCATTTCGCCTTCCGCAAGCTAAAGCAGGTAATGGTTTAATTCAATAGTAAAAACTTTTTTAATTATCCCATCGAACGAAGTTCGGAGGGATATAGGGAACGCCTCCGTCCGTCCGTACATACGTCCGTCCGTCCGTCTGTACGTACGTCCGTCCGTCCGGGCAATAACTCAAATACCGTTAGCACGATTTTGTTCATATTTTGTACACATATACCCTATGGGGGTAGAAGTTCTGCTCGAAAGTCGATTTTCAAAATGGCCGCTCATTTCAAAATGGCGGCCATTTTAGTGCCGATTTTACAGTAATTTAATACAATATGTAAAACTGTAATAGCAATATGTTTTAAATGTAAAAAAATTATAAAGGGCATTAGTAATGCTACAAATGTAGATATTAAAGAAGCACATGGCAGCCATCTTGAAAAATGGCGGCCTTTACTCGTCATTTTAACATATTTTACTATAACTTGAAAAGTAGTTGAGCGATTTTGTTCATATTTGGTATTTGAATACTATAAGCATTGCACACTGTCTAAAGACACTTTTGGTAGAAGGCGACCATTTTGAAAAAAAATTTGAAAAATGGCTGCCATTTTAACGCATTTTACTATAACTCGAAAAGTAGTGGAGCGATTTTGTTCATATTTGGTATGTGAATACTATAAGCATGGCACACTGTCCTATGACACTTTTGGTAGAAGGCGGCCATTTTTAAAAAAAAATTGAAAAATGGCCGCCATTTTAACATATTTTACTATAACTCGAAAAGTAGTGGAGCGATTTTGTTCATATTTGATATGTGAATACTTTAAGCATGGCACATTGTCTAAGAAAACTTTGGGGAGTAGTTGGCCATTTTGAAAAATTCGCTACGCTTTGGCGTTGCCGTTGTTCTGGTTTTATGAGTACCTCATGATATTCAGACCACTGTTTTAAACTTATGATATTTTTTGAATGCTATGATTATTGTTCAGGTGAAGATGCAGATGCAGCGGGTGGTATTAAGGGACTCGTCATAAAGCAGGCAAAGAACTTTGAGAAGATGCAACCAAAGCGTCAATACATAGACAGAGCCCTGCCTTCACAGACTAAGCTCCAACTGCCAAGGGACGACACAGAGATGACCATAAACCTACCACAAGGGAAAGGTATATATTAACAAGATTCAAGGTGTTCTCCTTCCAATTCCATTGCACTCTCATATGGTTGTTGAAACTTAAGAAATATATTGGTTTGATCAAAATTGTTAATTTAGATCCTGGGGCCGTGAATTTGTGTGATCCGTGATCCGATCCAGATAAATTTCGTCATGGTAATGATGCATTGTGGGATAATCTTGGAATTTATCCGAACATTGGAGAATTCGCACAATGCTTAGGATAAATTTTATCCAAATCTCAATCCACCTAAGTAGGTGGATTGATTTTCGGATAAATTTTACCCAAATTCCAATGTGATTTGGATAATTCTTGGGGATATCGTAGGATCGTATGAAAAGGTAAAATTCATCCAGATAAATTCTTGGATCGTAGGAATTCATGGGCCCAAACCAGTATTTCAACTTTTTTAAGCTGATGCCTTATGTCTATATGACTTGTGTTGGAGAAGAAATCTTCAATATGGCCACTTTATTCAAAATGGTCACAAAAGACACAATATGTTTAAACACAATAAGTTTTACTGAATACCTCCACCATGAAATGTTCAAAAAGAGGATCAAGTGATTGTGATAAAATGTTTTGTTCGGTGTGATTTTCATATCTTAAAGGTTTTAATGTAGCTTGCTGTGTGCTTAAATGTCGTTTATGTACTTTTTGTACTCCCAAATACCATTTCCCTCATTAAACAGTATTTAATGTTTACATTTTAGCTTCCAAGATGTCAAAGTCTGTGAAATATGAGAGAAGTGACAAGAAGGCCACCAGAGAAGCCATGCCTGCCCAACTTGAGAAACTGCTAGAAGATACATCTAGGCAGCCTTCTGCACCTGACCTTAAATCTAGCCTCTCAAAGCCTGTCACCCCTGGGGTCAAGGTCACACCCGCAGAGCCCCCTAGTGGAACCCCTAGCGGCCCAATCAGGTGAAGTAACAAATACATGTGATTATAAACAATTACAATAGAGAGTTTCATGAGATTAAATTCTAAAAAGGCTTGTCAAAATATAAGCAAAATCTCTTAAAAATACTTCACTTTTAGTGTGGCTTTATGACATGCTCAAACATTTGATAATATCCCAGATTGATTTCATTATTCTTTAGAAGAAATTGTATTATATTAAGAAAACTCAACCATTGGTCTGTAACTTACCTTACATCAATTAAAATAATTAATCATTTAAAGAAAGTGGTGGCAGTGGCATATTGTTATAGTCTTTAAATTTTTTGTGGTTGGTTTTTAGTGATCAGCAGTTGGCATCTGTGACAAATGCCAGATGGTGACGATTTGCATGTTAATGCCTTGTTTAGTACTATTCTAGTACTGTTTTATTCATAAAATAGAAAATTTACAATTTGCATATATTGTCTGTTACAGGACATTTAGCAAGCTTGGGCACCTAGCTGGTGTTGAAGGTCTACTACCAGAAGATGAAGGTCCTAAGAAGCCTAAAACACCTGATAAGCAAAGCAGGACTGGCAGCCAACAACCAGGAACAGCCAATAGTAAGGCGAAGGACTCTCGACGCTCTTCTATGTCTCCTACATCTGCACGGAAGGAGAGTGGACGTCATACATTGAGATCTCAACCTTACTCCGTGGCAGACTCTGAAGGTATATTTATTCGTCGAAATACCCAAAATATATTTTTTCAGTTTACAAATAAAAATTTGAATATAGAAAATTAAAAAGACTGCATGGGCTCAAATATTAGCCTGTTCGATACATTCAAGATAATACCAATTCATATTACACAAAAAAAGTATTTACAATATCTCATTTTATTATTTTTCAAGTGTATTGCCATCTAACATAAAGGTATAGCTTCATGGTGAAGGACTGTCTCTGACCTGGTTGATCTATTAAAATGATAGATGGATGGTAAAAATGATCAATGTATGTCTGTATGGCTTTGGTGTGGAACCAGGGTTTTGAATTAGCCATACTACATGCAGATGGCTGGTGCACATATTTTGAATAGTAAAGAATGCTAGTGTCTAAATTTTTAGTTGCCATAAGAGGTTATAAATCCATGGTGTGAATGTTACATGAAACATTATTATTTCAGCTACGGGTACACCAGGGACTGCACAAACTGCGAGGAAATCAGCTATAACAGACAAAGCTTCTCGACCCAGGCGCAACAAGAAGGCTGAGGCAGCTCTTAGGGCCCAACTTGAATATGAGAAGAAACATGGAAAATGTGTCATACCAATCAGAATGGCTGAATTCTTTGCAGGTAAATAATATATCCTCTGGAATGAGAGTCTTAATTCAAGTCTCGAAAAACTAAAAATGAATCTCATTAAACTTTTTGTGTTAAGTTTGTGATCAAAACAAGTTGAAAACTATGTTTTTACAAATTGATTACCGCATCAATTTAGTATAAACATTATGAAATCACTTTTCTGATAGAAAATTTAAAACAATAAGTTCTGAGATTTTCAACAATCAAACAAACAAAATAGGAAATATGTATGTTTAACTAAAAATTAAATCATCAGATGCAAATTGTTTTTTCCTGAAACTACAGGTGTTAAGACGGTAACACGAAGACTGGAGGACCCAGTGCATGGCGTAGATGATGTATTCATAACTGTCAACTTAGATAAGCCACTGATGTCAGAAGAGCAAAGGATGCAGCTCAACCCCATGATTATCAAAGTGCACTCTGCCACAAATATGCCTAATAGTCCAATAACGCAAGAGGAATTGAAACTCAGGTAAAATGATACAAGTCAACAATAAATGTATAGTTTTCCCACTTTCCTCCCATGAAGGGTTCTGCTTTTAATTTGTATATGGTCACAAAAGATATGCAGATCTTTTAAGAGGGCAAGCCAATTATCGTGACAATTATCAAGAGATCCATTGTGATCTTAATGGGAGCATTTTTTCAAAAAAATTAGTTTTTCACATTGAACCATTAAATAATGGATATCACTGTATTACATTTCAGTATCATATCATTTTCTAGTTGTGTTCTGACCAAAAGTCCATTTTAATGCATATCGTTTTCCTAATGGAGAATTTCTATTACAGATGTCATCCGTGTTATGTACAGTACAAATTTTTCCGTCAACCAACTCACAAAAGCGTGGGGCGAGAACATGACACTAGTGTATACTGGGATGACATTGATGTCATTTTAACAGGTTGGTCAACCAGTACAGTAAAACTTGCGTAAGTGGAACACTTTTGATACCTCTCACATGTGTTCCACTTATGGAGGTGTTCCACTTACATTTTCTGTCAATAAGTAGCTGACATTCATTTCAAATGTAAACTACCTTAAAAAGTCATAAAAACACATTTGAGATCATTGAGATGGTACAAATACTAATTTTCCATCAAACCAGAAATAGAAATGAAGTACTTCAGTACATACTTTGAAAATTTTTTTTTTTATAATTTCAGGTACAATTGAGCCCAGTGAGTTGCGTGAGTTTCTAAATGGTCCCCTACTAGAAGTTGAGGTCCATGACAGAGACAGAAAACTAGAAGAGACCAAACTTAAACCTGCTCTTTTTGGAGAAGACCTGGAAGATGAAAAGATCAGTAATGTTGGCACTGTGGCAAGTAAGTACCAAATGCTCCTTGCACTGGGCAAGTAAGTACCAAATGTTGCTATAGTGGCTAGTTAATACCATGTGCTGCTGATACTGTGGTAAGTTAGTACCAAATGTTGCTTTAGTGGCTAGTTAATACCATCTGCTGCTGATACTGTGGCAAGTTAGTACCAAATGTTGGCGTTGCCTAGTGAGATGAAAATATTAGTATATTTGATAATGTTCAGATGTTCATATACCAATGTTCCAAAAACAGGTTTCTTTTCTTTCAGGTAGGAGAACCATACACAACCCTTTCCATGAACGTGATCGTCCATGGGATCCGTATGGTGTTGCAAGGTTCAACCTCTCTGACCTCCTTCTGGGACAACGAACCCTTAATCTTAAGTCACCCATACTAAACGGCCCTATCCCAGATATACTGGGTCAGAAAGACAAGCCTGAGGGTAAGGTTATGGGGGTGGCAGGGGCAGTAGATGGACCCACAGATACCCCCATAGCAACAGGCCACTACATCCAATCTCAAGCTATGTTGAAGATAAAGGTTGAGCTGGCATATCCCATCACTACCCCAGAGCAAGTTGCAGCCAAAGAACCATTGGACACAACCTTTGAGGTATGACATTGTAATCTCAAAATGAAAACTAACCTTGCTAAGTTAGACTGATTAAGGTTGTTCAAAAATTATTCATCCATCATGGCAAAAATGACTTTAGATAAAAACAGACAACTCTTAAAATCACCCTACTACATGCAGGTTAGCAAAAAGCTAATAATTTATATGTATGGAACAGGAGTAATATGTTAAAAACACACATTTTGTTAGTATAGCCAGGATTTGAAATCAGATGAGGTAGATTTGAATTTGCGAGGCAAAATGAAGTTAAAGTCAATATTATACTATTGTTAGACTTAAGTTTAATGGTTTCACTTGAAAAATGTCTGAATAATATTATTCTGTAAATTTTGATGAGGCAATTGCCTCGCCTGCCTCATGCCTGACTATGACCACTTAAGGCATTAGGGAGTTTAAACTTACTTATATTAGCACACACAACCCTTAACAACTTTAAGATCCAATGATGAATAAAAACTTTCTACATATGTGACATGGCATTTGCTTTCCAGTCTCACATACAAGAAATTGAAATTCTATTTCCAGTGTCCAATCGCCAGAATTGTGTTGGTGTTTGCTTCCTCTTGGTAACAGTAGTACACACAACCCCATAAAACATGTTTTTAGTTCCAATGATGAATAAAACTTCCTACCTTGTATCATGTACATAAGTACAGGTGTATAAGCATTTAATTGTATTGTATCGAACTGTATTTTCAGTGTCCATTCGCCAGAATTGTGTTCGTGTTTGCCTACAACAATGTCAAGTTCCTCAACAAGCTGCAGTCATTGGTGACACAGATCAATGCGGTTGCCTTGGAGCTTGATACTCTCCCTGAGCATGTCATTGATGCTGCTCTGTCAACATACAAACTTACAATGTGAGTTTTTATTACATCACATTAAACTTGGTTTTAGATAAAATGCTTGAATCTTTTGTGATTTTTAGAAAATTTGGAATATCAATAAATGATCTGAGCTAAACTGATTCATAAAACTGAGTTGATTTTAAAAGTAAAAGTATATACATATATCTCTGTCAATCTCTTATCCTTGGTCTCTGAAAATTAAGGTATCTAGCTACATGTCTATGTCTACGAAATTAATATGTTTAATTGTACATGTAATATTAATATTCTGCATTTATTTAATTGTTTCCTTTTTATTATTTTATTATTATAAATAACAATAAATCTGCGTCTTTAGGGTGCAGCAGAAGAATCGTCATCTAGATATCGTGACAGGTTTCCAGGTGATGGACCGAACCTACCACATCTTTGTGCTTGAAGGCCTTCGTGGTCACGCCATCAGTCAGATATGGAAGGCACTACCTCAACCAGAGAATGAAGGTATGAATTTTTGAAATAGTTATCTTAAAATAATTGTACTGTAGGAACAAGGAGGAAAATTCTTAATGAATGGTGTACAGTCATTTTTGCAGCATTTTCAGTTAGGGGGAAGTCTTGAATGAAAATTCTACTTAGGTGATATCTTTGTGGTAGAATCTAATAATTTGAAATGTTTGAATCGAATTGTTCAATTTAATTTATTTCATTCAAATATTCTCGCAAATAACAAATTGGAGACCTAATGTAATATTATTTATCTATGAACTTACGCATTAATTACTTTAAATTACTTTCTGCCTGTAGATGTGATTGTGTTATACAACTCTGAGCTTGCATTTGGTGAACGGCTGTATGGTCCTTTAGATGTGGACTTGTGTAGAGTGAAACTGCACGAACCCATGGAAACCATAGTAAAACAGTCTTTACTGTATGTTCGAGATATGGTACCCAAGCCATGTTTTCTGGCACTAGTCAAAATACAAGAGGTAGGGGAAACACTATAAGACCTTGGTTCATATGATTAACAGTAAAACCTGTGGAAAAGTGGAACACCTCGAAGAAGTGTTCCACTTGGGAGGTGTTCCACTTATAGAGGTTCATTTAACATTAAGTCAGTTGGATTTGGGACTCTGAAATGTGTTCCACTTGGGAGGTGTTCCACTTATAGAGGTTCATTTAACATTAAGTCAGTTGGTATTGGGACTCTGAAGTGTTCCACTTGGGAGGTGTTCCACTTATAGAGGTTCATTTAACATTAAGTCAGTTTGTATTGGGACTCTGAAGTGTTCCACTTGGGAGGTGTTCCACTTATAGAGGTTCATTTAACATTAAGTCAGTTGGAATTGGGACTCTGAAGTGTTCCACTTGGGAGGTGTTCCACTTATAGAGGTTCATTTAACATTAAGTCAGTTGGAATTGGGACTCTGAAATGTGTTCCACTAACAGAGGTGTTCCACTTTACAGGTTTCACTGTTCTTGCAAGCAACAACAACAATCCTCTTGCAGCAAACCCCAGTCGGGTGTGTCATTTAGAAGCTATGTAGTTTTCAGCTATGTTTTATAGGATACCATATTTCCTCACATTAATGTATACACGCACACCTTTTGCAAAAATGAACACCAAGGATGGAAGTTCGAACATTCTATTGAACAGTTGTTTAGAAATGATATTTTCCAGATAGCTTATGATATTTATTGGTTTCAGCTTATGAGATCGAAAACTCTGAGAGATTGTGTAAGGAATGACCTATTTCCGTCAGCCGAGATGGTGGTATCAATGAGTAGAGAGTTTGGAGTTCCGCTCACAAGTGAAGACTTTGAAGGTACATATTTTTAGAAATTTTATTAAAAATTGATTCATAAATGAATAAACAAATTCTTGGGGATGAATAGTAATGCTTTTACCAATATTTTAATACTGTAACTAGGCGAAACAAAAATAATTGAGTATATACTGTTCTTTAACAATATAAGTTTCGATTGATATTTTTGGCGGAGCCTTAACATTAATATAGTTTTCAATGTCCAGAAGATTTGCAAAAGGGGAATAAAGAATTGAATCTTTTGTTAAAATACTTTAAATAATATTGTTTTTATTTCTAGAACTCCAACCGGAGGCAGATCAGAAGCTGGTAAACAATGATCCTAGTAAAAATTTCATCCATCAGATGTCCTTCCCTCAGACGAGTCGAATGTGGACTCCGATAGATAATGAGAATACTGACTTCATGGAATATCTCTCTGAGAGAGAGAAAACAGCACCAATGAAAGATTTCATTAAAGATAATATGGTTAGTTTGGAAATGTCACAGTCCATTTTATGGTATTAAGAACTTAAGTCTTCTGCATTGTACACATTGGAAACAATGCTTATATTGGGATTATCTCCCCAGCAATTCATGACAAAAGGTTTATGTTTTCAAGTGATATGAATGCTTGCTATATGATGAAGCAAAAGTGTGCGTTCAATTCACATAAGATCCAGAAAAAATATTTTGTCAAGTCTGCTTTTTATTATGTATAAATTGAGAAAAATCTTATTCATCTCAATCATTGGGTCTCTATTTTCCCACAGGCATACACACGTAGTGTGAGTATGATGAACAAACAGAAACGGGAGCTGACAATGCCTCCTATGATCAGAGCAGATGTTAAGGTGGCTCACAACTATAGTACACAAGCTCTTAACTCTACAGAAAAGGGCAAAGAAGAAGTCAGAGAAATACTTTCACAGGTACAGTTGATCTATAGCAGTAAAGCAAGTGGGTGCTACTGTGACCACTTCAGATTTAAATAGGCTTGCAACCACCCGAGAATCCATTTGCACTTGAAGCCATCCGCTTGGAAAAAATACTATGTATTAAAAAATATATCAAGCAAGGCTTTATTTTATATGTTCATAAACTATAATGTTCAGCAAATGTTGAGTTGGTGCTGTCTGAATTAATTCACAAGGGGAATGAACTACAGCTTCGTGGTTCATATAGACTAAGTGCCTCAACAAAATAATTGAGGCTTTACTATTGGTTTGAAATTCCATTTAAGGGTCTCAGAAATTTTCTGAAAAGGATATTGTGACCAGCTTTGGGTATATTGCCATTCCCATTTAATTAAATGGAAATGCAGCTTTTTATATTAAAAAAGCGTGTAGAATGTGTACACTGTTGGTATTGCAGTGGCCTGAGAGATTCACCTATAACCCAGCCTTCCACCACTCTATGACAGTTTTACCTGTGAATAACGTAAACCAAGATGTGTATATTAATGAGTTGATAAAAATACATTATTCCATAATACTACTGCTTTCCCAGGGAAATATGAAGGAATAAAAATCGTATTGAATCGTACTACATGAAAAAATCGCATTGTCCCCGGGAAAAATCGTATTGGAGCGTATTACATGAAAAAATCGTATTGTCCCCGGGAAAAAATCGTATTGGAGCATATTAACCTATTTTCGGTTTCCCGGTTATTTTTCCCAGTTATCTGCATTTTCCAAATGTAGCATTTTGGAGGGGTGTATTATGGAATAAATAGGTTATTTCTGGTCGGGATTGAATATGGGTTTTATTCCTCGGAAAATATGATATTGACCTTGGGCTATATGATATTGACACTCGGTCGCTGCGCTCCCTCGGTCAATATCATATTACCCTTCGGTCAATATCATATTGTCCCTCGGAATAAGACCCATATTCAATCCCTCCCAGTAAATAACCTATATTTATTGGTTATTGTAGTGGCCTGATGAGAGATTCACCTATAACCCAGCCTTCCACCACTCCATGACTGTTGTGCCCATAAATGTCGAGGCCATCAAGAAACAAGAGGAACAAGAGTCTAAGGACAAATACCGCACTCCCAATGGTTGGACCTACCCAGGCAAGAAGACCATGCAGGAGGCCAATAAACACCCTAATAAACCTGATGAGGCCAGAATTGATGAGATACATGGGGTAAGTCAAAAAATCATACTGTTCATCATTCAATAAAGGGCTACTTGTGATTTTATTTTCCGATACATGCAGGCTCAGATCAAAATTAAATAGGCTGGGGCTTATATCATACCCTGAATTTTAGTTAAGAAATATACAGTGTAGACTGAAGAGCAGGTATTATATCAACGAATAAATACTGCATGGCTAGTAACAAACGTCCTCTGTTCGTAAGCTTTTGTGCTTAGCCCTAAGGTATTTATTACCCAATATTATACCTGATCTGAGGTCGATATTACAATATCAACATGAAAAATCACCAAAAATAAATAGTCTCTCCCCCATTATCTATTTTCATAAGACAGTGCAGGAGGAGGTGTTAGTATAATGTGAGTGGGGACCACAAGGGCTCAATGCAAGACTACCTGAGTGTATACTAAACATTTCCATAAAAATGACATTTTGTATTTGGTGTGGTTGCTGTTTTCAAAATCAATGTTAGAAAACGTTTTTGATTCTTTTCAATATTTATTGAAGCAGGGAACACTTGTATACCATAGTTTCTATTCTTCCAGGTTTGGACAGAGAATGTCCTTCATGCCAATGTACTTGAACCTACATTAAACAGAGAACGCTATGATTGGTCAAATCGTCAAGTTGACCTTGACATTTGGACTAAGCCCAGAAGGTCATTTGGAGATGAACCAATCACAATCCATCTAGCTGGTGATAAGTTGGATAAGGAGCGTCGAGCTGCTGCACATTCAGCAGATGCAGCCTGGCGGTCAAAAGTTATCGTGGATGATCCACGAGTGTACCTCCATAGGTGTAACCTCCAAACAGAGCAGAGGGACACTGGATATAAATCTAGCAATGAGCTTGATAGACTAAGACAAATCCTCAAGGATGACCCACAGAAGTATTCTCTAAAGAAGAAACCTATGGTGTTGAAGGATATCCCTCCATTGAATGTGGTGTTGAACCCAAGCGTTGATACTACTGCAAGGAGAATGGGGTTATCAACTGAACCAGCAGTGCCTGGAGAGGGCATTGAGAAAACTAAAGGTTTCATGCCTGGACCTTATAGAGACAATAGCTGGTCATTAGACAGGAACTACATTGCAAGTGTTGATTATGAGCACAAGAAGTTCCAGCAATTGAAAGGAAAAGATTTTAAGTAAGTTTAATATATGATATAAACTGCTATTGCACTATTGCCATTTTGTTTTGGTTGATCTTTTTCTTTTGATATTGAGTCAAATGGGGAATGGGTTTTGACATCAAAAGTCTTTATAGTATTGTATTGTTCCAAAATAGATTCAAAATATTTTCAAACTTTCTAAAAATAAAAATAGAGAATTTTAGACATCTGTTCATCTGCACATGTACAGCACATAGCGCATACATTACAGGGGTCTCATCAGGAAATATTTATAGACTGTGAAAACAATCATGATTTGCCGGTAGGGTATTGTGGGAGCTAAATAGAGTGTGGTGCTGCGCCACAGTCTAAAAGCCCGGCGAGAGCCCTGCATTAGATATTTCAGCTAGGCCTATACATGTTTCAATTATTTCTTTTACTTCCAGTGTATACCACAAGGAACGAAGTCCTTTTGCCAAACGATCTATAGTCCCACTTTACAATGCTGAACATGACAATCATTTATTTTGGACCAATGAGGAAGCGTATGACTTCCGCAATCGTCACATGACATTACCTGATATAGGAGCATACAAGGAGTATGCGAAAGAAATGGTTGATCGCCAAGTTACATTTGCAAATCCAGTTATAGAGAAAAAAGCAGTAGAATTAGAGTAACTGATATATGGTTCAATTAATGTAAGCATTATTTTAGTGGTCAATAACATGTATGTGATTGCTGATGTCATTTAAATATTGTGTATTTTTATAATTATATATAGTGTTTTAAGACACTTTGAAGATAATTTTATCTTCTAGCTGAACCTTAATTAATATACACACTACATAGTCTTCTCCAAGGTGTTGAAAGCAACTGGGTTCTGCTCCCAGTTAAGAATTAGAAAACTGCTTTGCGGCAATTTGCAAATTCATTTGAGTAACTCAACTGGGCTTTTGCCAAAATCAAAATATGATTCCCTGCTCAAATGAGAAAATCATGGAGAATTGAGTTTTCGAAAAAATGGCGGAGGACAGTTTTTATTCCAATTTGGTAAAATCAGAATTTTTGGCATCTACTTAAGGAGAAGACTGTACAGTATTATTTTGAGATTATATCATAATGAGATTAAACCAATTGACCCATCAAAACCAAAGGTAAAATTGTAGATGCAGTATTACACTAAAATGTGCTGGTCACAAAATATGTTGAGCGTTGTGAGAGATCTCTGCAAATAACTGACTATGCGAGAGCACTCCCAAGTTTATACATTAATGCAGTGTCAAGTCAGGTGTCTGTTTGTCAAATTACTTGTATATTTTTTAAAGCAGACCACATTTCATTATCAGTTAATGAAATGGGTAAACTGATTTTTTCAGCATGCATAATAATGCTATACATGCACATAATGACATTAAAGGGGAAACAAAAACTAGATATGAGTTGAGGTTACTTTATAAATAAGTGCCTTTTTTAGAAATCGCAATTCTTTCATATAGTAAAATTAAGATTGCAATTTAAGGAAAACATTTTCGAGCTTTTTGAAAATGCTAATGACTCAGTCACATTTGATCCACGGCATCCATACATTCCCACATTTAAGAGAAATGTGCAGCATAAAATACAGGGATAAGCTATATTTCTATATCGATTTTGTGAAGCAAATGTGAATGAGGCTTAACCCTCTAATCTTTGCTGTAACTTTAATATACATGTACAGTATATGTACAAAATAAATGTGCCTTAAAACTTCAGAACTGTATAATATATTAGGTGTGTTCATTGATTCTGGAACACTGGTACAGTGTGGTTTCTTTGATTCCACTAGAAAGGTTCATTAATGTTGGTTTCTATGGGAACATGACTAGTCTGGTGTCAACAATTTACTAGCATTTAAATTAATTATGAGATTATCATTATATAGCAAACTGTGATAGTATAGATGCATAAATTAATATATTTAATTACTCAAGATTGTACATAGGAATTGTAAATATTAATTGATAGGTGTATAAACTTGTTAACTGTTAATTGCCCTGAGTTTCCAAAATGTACCAATATGGTGAAAATCATGACAGTATATATAGGTACAATTACATGTAAACTGTAGGTATTTTCACAAATGATGCAGCAAATATTTTTGTTTTAAACAAAATTTGCATTTCAGTACAATATTTCAAATGTTGTATGATCAGTATTGTTCTACTTCATATAAATGTCAGCCCGTATGTTATATATTGTATTATTCATAATATACTGCTAAATAATTGTAAATGCACAATTCTGTCAATATCTAGAGATAAACCATTTGCTAAAAGTATACATTGTTAATTGTACTGCTGGAAAGATATAATAATAAAATTACTGGCATTATGTCACTTGTAAAGTGTTTAGTTTAACCACTATTTTGGATTCACATTTTTTTAGATATTGGTACATGAAGTCCATTAGAACACCACATTCTGTAACTAGAATAATTTTGACAAAATTGCAGAATTGAAGAAATTAGCAAAATTTAAGACAAATCCCGAGAAACGTTTTCTTCCTATACACATGGAGTTTCTCTCCAGATGAAATTATAAATTGGCAACTCCAAGGAGTAGGCAGCCATATTGAATTCTCTGAGGCAAAAATCATAAAACAATACCATAATTGCAGAATTGTGAAAGTCTCATTTCCTCAAATGTTGGGGGATCATGAACATATGGATGACATGAACAGAAGTACTGTAATGAAGTGTGTTAGGAATAAGAGTGGAGTAAATGTGAGGGAATCACATTATGCAAATCCTCCCTGATGATCACTGAGGACGTCAGTACATATTGGGCTTGCATTCAAAGTACAGTGATACCTGTAAATTGGAACACCTCTAAAAGTGGAACACTTTTCAAGCCCAACTAACTCAATGTTAAATGGACCTCTATAATCGGAACACCTCCCAAGTTGAACACTTATTAAAGATATCAAAGGTGTTCCACTTTGACAGGTTTTACTATAAATACATAGAGCCTTATTTTAATGGCACACATAGTTGATGAAGATTTCAACAGATTGGATGACTCCAATGCCCCTTTAACTCACATAGTTGATGCCATTTCAGTGTTATACTGAATAATTGTGAAGGAATATTCATTTTCATGATTTGACAATTGAAATGATTAATGTGAAATTAGCAGTCTAAAAATGGCTACCATTTAGTCAAATTGTATGAAATCACTCTACTATACCTAACCCCTAGAAATGCATAAGATACTCTGTTTGTCCAATTGTATTGTGTAGTATATTTTTGAAAGTACCTTATTAACATATAGCGTCATCCGATAAACCATTAATAAGGAACAGACAAATAAAAACAAATTACATAATCATTACTAACCAGAACAACGGCAACGGTTTTATTAGACAATGTGCCATGCTTAAAGTATTCGCATATCAAATATGAACAAAATCGCTCAACTACTTTTCGAGTTATAGTAAAATACGTTAAAATGGCATCCATTTTTCAAAATTGTTTTCAAAATGGCCGCCTTCTACCAAAAGTGTCATAAGACAGTGTGCCATGCTTACAGTATTCACATACCAAATATGAACAAAATCGCTCCACTACTTTTCGAGTTATAGTAAAATACGTTAAAATGGCGGCCATTTTTCAAAATGGCCGCCTTCTACCAAAAGTGTCTTTAGACAGTGTGCAATGCTTAGGGGAGGCATCAAAAGTTCAATGTCTGATAGGAAACTAAATAAATCTAGTTTTGAGTTGGACCCCCTCCCTCCCCCTCAAAACTAAATACAATGAAAGTTGATCGCGGACTTTTCACATGTTTTTAGGACTTTTATGGGGCAGTACTATAACTATTTATGATTCTTAAAACATGTGCCAACAATAATAGGCATAATATTCCATGTTGCATGCATCTTGGTGAAGAAGGCATCTGGTGAAGTCTTTATTTTCAAACCATTCCAAGGTATTTTGAGTCGAAATTGCAAAAAATTTAAATGTTGAAATTTGTCGGATAGCAAACTGAAATAGCTTTGACCCCCTCCCCCCCAAACTAGATTTATTTAGTTTTCTATCAGACATTGATCTTTTGATGCCTCCCCTTATAGTATTCACATACCAAATATGAACAAAATCGCTCCACTACTTTTTGAATTACAGCAAAAATCGTAAAATGACGAGTAAAGGCCGCCATTTTTCAAGATGGCTGCCATGTGCTTCTTTAATATCTACATTTGTAGCATTATTAATGTCCTTTATAATTTTTTTACATTTAAAACATATTGCTATTACAGTTTTACATATTGCACCTAAATTACTGTAAAATCGTCACTAAAATGGCCGCCATTTTGAAATGAGCGGCCATTTTGAAAATCAGCTCTCGAGCAGAACTTCTACCGCCATAGGGTATATGTGTACAAAATGTGAACAAAATCGGGCCAACGGTATTTGAGTTATTGCCCGGACGGACGGACAGACGGATGGACGTACGTACGGACGGACGTACGTATGGACGGACGGAGGCGTTCCCTATATCCCTCCGAACTTCGTTCGATGGGATAATAAGCCAAAAGGGTTGCTCATGAACACCCAATGCAAGGTCAGAAGGTATAGTAGAGTGAAAATAATAAGTTGGAGCCAGACAATGGCAGCTATTTTTAACAAGGTTATTCATCACAGTATGTATCTGAACCAAAGATGTCAGTAAAACATCAACTTATGAAACTGGAACTGAATCTGAGAACTGGTATTTGAATTAAAAGTGTTTCTATTTCACAAAAATAGCCCATTTTGAATTGAGCTGCCATATTGAAAATATCTTCATGGGCAGAGGACTCAAAAAATTAAATTATTGTTGAAGTTATCATCCAAAGCCTTCTGTTAATCCATGGTTAATCCCAAATCTTTGATTGATGTGATAATTAGATTGGATTCATAAGTTAGAGCGATTCGGCTATCATGTTAATTTTTTGAAATGTTTTGAACATGTCAGAAAATCATTGGAATACAAGAAACTACAAGTAATCCAAAATAAACAAATGTTATTTTGCATATAAATATGAAAGTATAATATAAATATATATCTTTTGATTGCTTACATTATAGGTTTGATTGACACAACCCAATTGACTCCTACTTTATAAAGCTACGGCCTTATCATGATGGATGGATGGACCAACAGAGGGATGGAAGGACCAATGGATGCCTAGTGAGCCCATACTCAAATACTAGCACATGATCCATGAACATATTAAGGTCGAAGTGTACATTTGGAAATTTTATCCTTATTGGAGTTGCATGTTATTTTCAGGAATAAATTACTTGTAGCATATATAGTCTAACCCTTTCACAATTGCACCAAGAGTGCACTTATATACCTAAAAAAGAGTTTAGAGACTATTTTGTTTATAAAAGAACAAAATAAGCAAGTTACATTTATCTTCCCATTTTTTTTATACATATTATAAACATTATTCACTAGGCCTACACTCTTTTGAAGGTACCTTAGTGCACTCTTTCTGCAAATGACAAAGACTTGTAGACCATATATGAAATTAGTGACTCCAGTCAGTGAGGACATAACAATTCTGAACATACACATCTACCTTAAGATTATCAGCCTAAGTTACAAACATCAATTTTTGTTTTAGAAAATAGTCCCATATTATTATTCTCTGTATAAAATAATTCCCAAGTCTTACATTTACAATACACAAAGCATATACTCATAGATCATAATGGTTAGCTACAATAACTAGAAAGTCCATAATTATAATGTTGGAATGAAAAATAATCTACTGAAAATGATAATAAAGATGTCAGCCTAGTAGTCTTATCTCATCATTCTATGTTTACCGACAATGTACATGACATTTTGTACTTTGATCAAACAATAGCTTCTGATAGCACTTGTTACCTTGTGAACTTCGAGACTGCACTTAATACATTAGAATGCAGTTGTCACCACTTCTAATATGATAAAAATGTGAAAATTATGAGAACAATTGAATTGAAGGTATAAAATTAAATTCCTATTTAAAATAGTATTGACATTATAACAAAGTTTATCCAATCAAAAGTCCTGATCCTAAACCCACATATCATGGGAAAGTCCTTAGTATAGAGGCAGTTACACATATAATTATTTCTACGAGACGTTAACTGGAAATGTGATGGTTGCCGAGTCTGAGTCTGTAGTATTAGAAGTCTGAAAACGGTGTTCTATACCAAAGCCGGCATGTGTACCATTCCATTGGATTCAGCCTTTTGTTCGGTCCTATTTATTATGTTTACAACTATGTGTACTTCATATTTATATTTTGTTCATAAGAGGCATTTGAGATGTCACGTCAAAGGTGATAAATCAGACAACTCATTTTTCCATCTGATTTCTGATTTGCTGGTTCTTGTGTCATAGTCATTGTTACTTGTTGATATTTTAAAGACTCCAAGGCTGTTTTATAGCTTAATCGCACAAAGATGTGTGCATTATGTTCACTGTTACCAATAATCCGGATGCATGGGAATCGAATCCAATGCAGATTTTTAAACAAAACGGTATGTCACATTTCTTTGGCAATCTCTTTGTAGACTAGGGATAATTGTATTTATTGTACATGATTCGTTAATTATTGTCATTGATAGCTGCTATTCTTATTATTCATAATTTGTCCCCAATCGGTATTTGTCGTTTGTAGTTTTTGGACTTCGACGATCACATTAGCACAACGTCCCATTTACCTATGTATCATTATGTACATCAATCCATTGACTATATACACCAATATCGTTTATATGCAGTTTTGGCAGTAAATACAATACTTTTGTACATATGTATATTTGTTCCAGACTGATGATGGTCTTGTGATTGTTTATCATCTGAAAATCTGGAGAATATTTATTTTCATTTTTGACATTATCCGCTTCTTTTCCGTGCGTAACACCCTAAACAGGCGCATATTCCTACAATTCCTATTATTAGTCCTAAAACCAGTGCTATGGCATCCCCAGCATCAAACGCAGAGACACCAGGAATGAAAGAAATGATGAAAAACAGAACCGCCTGCCAAACGTGTACTTCCGCCATCTTGCAATTTCCGTCAACTCACGTGATGTGTCACATGACTTGAATTTATGAAGGGGTGATAGAATTTATCTATATGTCTCAATTAGTGAATCTGTTATAATCTGTAGGAAAATAATGATAATTATATGCATATTATTCAATATAAATATATTTCTCTCAAATTACTTACCAAATAAAAGATATTCTGTGTAACTTTGAACTTATCTTAATTAATATTCATCCCTTGCGATATGGACTCATCCATTACGAATATTACGTTGGTTGTTTTGGTCACATGACCTCCCGTCTCCTTTGACATGATGGCTACCACTTTGGAGGAAATACAAAGTGTTGAAAATAGAGATCCTGGGTCCCCTAAGCTCACTAGGGACGCAGTTTCTGATGTAGAGGAGCATGAGGCGAGTGGTGTCCCCCTAAACACACTTTGGACGTTCTGGCTGGACAAGTAAGTAGCTCAAATTTAGGTTTATAAGCAAACTTGTCAGTTTGCAAAAATTAAAAAATCTCTTGTTTTTATTATTTTATTTTTGAAAGCACCAGGAACTACAAGTATGTTTTGATTCCCTAAACCAAGATTATAGGATACGCAATATCTGCTTCTAGTGGATATAGACATACTGTTTCAGAAGTGATGCTATACCAGATGTTTACTGACTAACTAAAGATCAGTTCAAAAATAAATTTTGACATGTCAAATAATTTACATGCAATAGGGACTGGTCTTAGCTAGAATGTGCCAGTGCAATGTAACATGGCATTTGTCTTGTTGTATTCACTTGAGACTAATTGGCCCAAAGACGCTGTCACATTTCAAACATTTTACATTTTGGGATAACAGTATGAGATTCTCATTTTTTAAAAAGATGGCGTCTAACATTTTACACTATCTATCCTTCTGTACAGTATGATGTCAGGCCCATAGTTTTTCATCATTCTGAGCATTTTTAAGTGATTTTGGCCATTTTCGGACCAAAATTGTCACAAGTGAACACCCCTGGAATTTTTCAAAAAGTGAACCCCCTTGGCAAATCCTGGTTACGGGCTGGATGTCATCATTGACAAATGAAATGAATGGTCACACAACTCATGCAACCAGTCATGCATGATCTTTGACTTTATTCTGTGGCCCAATTCGACTTTGTCCGTCCCAGTACCTGTATGATGCATTATGGGAAATATTTATGTTATTGACCATGGAAGTTCATATCTGAATTAGACTTTTCCTTAGGAATATGTATCACATTTTAAGCATGTAGTTTAGAGAGAAAGTCCATGTAGGTATGGCACATTCATAAGTTCAGTTAACTTCCTTACATTGGCCCATGGGCTTTCAACTCTAGTTGAAAGCCCATGATTGGCCCTAGAAAGAAAACTTACAAATCTAGCCAGTATCCCAATTTATTTTTGGACATAACATGCTTAACAGTATATAAGTAAGATACATGTTAATGTTCATGCACATGTAGGTCATTCAGTGCCACCTACTTTCACTGAAATAATATATCATTGCACTTTGATTTTCGACCTCATTCTTATAGTGATCATAGATCACATTGACTTTTAGCCTTAACAGCTGCTATTTCAATTCACCCCATGATACCAATGTGAAAAGTTGATGCAGTCATTAAAATTAAATGATGGTAACAAGGTCCATGCAGCCTTTTTCCCCCTCACTGACTGTAGTATACTGTATATTTAAGAAATAAAGACCGAATAGCTAGCAGTGGTAATATTGTAGAATACACCCCTTAGGGCTAGACACAAAAGCTTTTGAGCACCTCACTCCCTTCGGTCGTTTGGGGTACAGAAAACGTTTGTGTCTAGCTCCAAGGGATGTATTCGACGATATTGCACCTGCTCTGAGGTCTATATTATGATTCGAACATGAAAACTCACCAAAATGTTTCGAATATTCATTATGGTCCACCATTACTGATGATGATGATGATGTCACACATTACACTTATTACCAGGGGTTTTGTTCGCGAATATATCCTGAGTGGAATGTTGACTTTGTTTACAGTTTATAGAAGGCGTGAATACAGTCATGTTCGAATATTTGTTCGTGCATTAAAATTAGATTTGCATCGTTTTGCACACATCTCCTTTCTTAAAATAGATTTGCATTTTCTCATTGTTTGAAAACTACGTTCATGAACTTGGTACACTTTGTTCATGATCCTGTTAGTTATACAGGAGAAGGGCATAGTATGCAGGCGCATAGTCAGCTTTTGCCAAGGGGGTTCACTTTAAACATTTTCAGGGTTAGATTTACATTTGACATCTTTGGCCCAAAATCATTTGAAAAGTGCTCAGAATGTTGAAAAACTGCATTATTTTGAAAGAAATTTTGTCTAAGGGGAAGATTCGCTCAAACACCTCGGCTACGGGTCTGGTATAGAAAGCAGAAAAAACCATAGAATATAATGAGGAAAATATATGGAAGTAGAAAATAACAAATGAAACATGGGATCTCAAAAAGAAAATTCTAAAGAATTAGGTATTTACATTATAAGGCATAAACAACAGGGTTTGTAGAAAAAACCGGGTACCGGGTAGTAAATCCTCCATGCTGGATTCAAACTTGGTACCTGGTCGAAAAAACCGGGTACCCAAAAAAAAACGAAAAATATGAATATATAACATAATTAGATCATTAGAAAACGTGTAAGATTTGTTTTGAATTTACAAAAATGTATGTAACTTCCTTCAAAATTGAGCTAGAAGCTTCAAATAAAAAGCATTTTAAGGCTCTTCTCTCCTCTATCATCATGGTCATATTTTCATTGGTTATGGGGGGGGTGTGATCGCACCATCTAACCCCCTCCTGGCTACGCCTATGACATTGTAAGACGATTTGAAAAACATGACAAATCAATCTTACTCTATTTTCAATAGTCCATATGTTAGTACGTGAATTGTTTTGATTATGATTTAAGTCTGTAAATCCCTATCGTTACTTTAGAGGTGACGTGTGTTAATTTCCATGATGCAACTTGTAAGATTTTGATTATTAATCATAATTTAAGTTATCCCAATTTTCGACGAAACGTCCACTGAAGTGTAAATTGTTATGTCTTACTATGTCATAGGCGTAGCCAGGAGGGGTTGCGATGGAATGATTTGAAGGAAGTTACATACATTTTTGTAAATTCAAAACAAATCTTACACATTTTCTAATGATTTAATTATGTATAATCGTATTTCTCGTTTTTCTGGGTACCCGGTTTTTTCGACCGGATACCAAGTTTGAACCCAGCATGGAGGATTTACTACCCGGTACCCGGTTTTTTCTACAAACCCATAAACAACATAATATAAGATATTGTTCCCCTGTCCTTTCTTTTATTGTATTATTCATTTTTCTGCTATATTTTCAGATCTGTGAGAGGAACAACAGCTGCAGAGTATGAGTCTATGTTACGTAAAATATACACTGTAAAAACTGTTCAGGTAAGATCTATAAAATTCTATATGCTCTTATGTAAATAATATTTTACATGATAACCTATGTTAATATTGCACAAAAATTGAATATTGTATGTGTATCTAAAAAAAGTTGTCATGACAAAATTTTTTTTATGTCATGTACATGTACTGTACATTTAGCAAAATTATCAAGTACTGTAAGCATGTTATTGCGTCAAATTATCAGCACACTTTTGTGAAAAAAAAGAATGGACCAAAATTATTAATGATATGATAAAGACATTTTTGTATATAACTTGTATATTTTATATCACAAGCAAGCTTGGCTCCTTCAATCTGCCTCAAGATTTCAAGATTTAGTATTCAAATAGAACTGTACAGGCAATTCGGATGTTGCAATTCATTGAACTTGGAATCAAGTACAAAATGTAGCTGCAGATTGTTTTGCTTGGTAGAGCTCATCATCAAAATTGTTGGAGTTTAAATTGAGCGACCCCCCCCCCACAGCCTAAAATTCTTTCCAAACTATGCAGTTTTTCTGAGCATTTTTCAAGTGAGTTTGGGCCAAAGTTGTCATAATGTGAAACCCCCTGAAATTTTCTGAAAATGAAACCCGCTTGGCAAAAGCTGGCTATCTGAGGCCTGAAATGGACCTGATTTCAAATATCGTGGCCTTTTTCCATTCATTTAAGTAGCTATAATCTTAAAATATAGCAAGTTAATTATCCCATCGAACGAAATTCGGAGGGATATAGGGAACGCCTCCGTCCGTCCGTCCATCATCCGGGCAATAACTCAAATACCGATGGCCTGATTTTATTCATAATTTGTACACATATACCCAATGGGGGTAGAAGTTCTGCTTGAAAACCGATTTTCAAAATGGCCGCTTATTTTTAAAAAATGGCGGCCATTTTAGTGCAGATTTTACAGTTATTTTGGTACTGCATATAAAACTGTAATAGCAATATGTTTTAAATGTAAAAAAAGTTATATATGACATTGATTAAGCTTTCAATGTAAATATAGAAGAAATACATGGCAGCCATCTTGAAAAATGGCTGCCTTTGCACGTCATTTTACGATTTTTGCTGTAACTTGAAAAGTAGTGGAGCGATTTTGTTCATATTTGGTATGTGAATATTTTAAGCATGGCACAATGTCTAATGACATTATTGGGTAGTAGGCGGCCATTTTGAAAATGGCCACCATTTTTATGTTTTTTACTATAACTTGAAAAGTAGTGGAGCGATTATGTTCATATTTGATATGCGAATTCTCATGAGCCTTCCACACTGTCTCATGACACTTCGCGTAGTAGGTGGCCATTTTCAAAATGGCTGTCATTTTTACACTTTTTACTATAACTCGAAAAGTATTGGAGCAATTTTGTTCATATTTGATATGTGAATAATTTAAGCATGGCACATGTTCTAATAAATCTTTGGGCCATTTTAAAAAATTGGCCACCATTTTTATGTGTGTTATTTTACATTTTTTATTAAAACTCAAAAAGTAATAGAGCGATTTTGTTCATATTTGATATGTGAATACTTGTAAGGATTGCATACTGTCAGCATGGCTGGTTAGAATTTATTTTTACCTGGGCTAAGACAACCACTGAGAGTGAGGTTTTGAACTGTAAAATTGTCAAATCTATTCAAAGGTTAGTTTAGTATTAAACTCTGCACTCAGGGTATTCTATCTGTTCAAGCTTGTCCCTCTCTTTTCTTTGAAACTACAGTAAAACCTGGGTACAGTGAACACCTATTGAGCCACACTATAGAGAGGCACCATTTTATACAGAACTCATGTGATGGGAAGGGGTATTTACTCGACACATGTGTTCACTACAAAGAGGTATACACTGTAATACATACGGTTAGAACTGTCAGAATTAAGTTTTCCAACAAGTCCTCCATGTTCATAACCCCACCCCCTCCCCCCTAGTACTCCCCACTTATTCCCTCAATCTCTGATAGTAGAAAATAATGCTGCAACTCATAACTTTGTTTATTTGTTTAGGGATTCTGGCGTGTTTACAACAATATCCCAGATGTTGCAGAGCTGAATACTCGCTATAGTTACCACTTAATGCGGGAGCACAGGAGGCCTGTATGGTATGTCAAGACAACTATATATTATATCCTTTACTAGAGCTCAATCCCTAGTCTTGGTTCAAGTCCTTGTGTCCCCCCCCCAGGTCCTACATACCTCCCCTCTAGAGGGGAAGTTATCAGGGGGAGGGGATGTAGTCACTTATCCTTTACTAGAGCTCAATCCCTAGTCTTGGTTCAAGTCCTTGTCCCCCCAGGTCCTACATACCTACATAGGGGGAGTTATCAGGGAGAGAGGATGTAGTCATCTGATGTAAAACTACTCAATTTCTTCAAGACTCTTTAATAAATTGGAGATAATTTTTTGATATCAGTTTATATCAAACAATCCAGCGATCTATTATAATATATTTTTGGCATATCTTTAGTAAACATTTATTTGACATTTAAACTCTTATAAAAGGCCATGGAAATATACATTTGAGATCATGGAGATCTTCCATTAAAATGTAAATTTATCTGTAATACTCAGAGTGTGGTGTGGCTAATATACCCCCTGCTACAGGTAATGATGTAAAATAGTTGTATATTGTTACTTGTATACTTGTTACTTGTATACTTGTTATACCCTGTAGACACAAGTAAAACACACTATAGTGTAGGAACTTCTCAATTTTTGTCCCTCATTGTTTCTCAAAGCAGGCTTATATGATAACCCTCGGCTAAGGATGGTGTTCGTATGTTGACAGTTATTTTCCTTATGTTATCAAAAATTTAAAATGCTATTTGCATTGACTTGAAAATCAACATTGTTCACGATGGAAATCTTGACTTGATATTTGGAAATAAGATGTGTGCTTGTTTTATTTCAGGGAGGATGAGAAAAACTGTAAAGGTGGAAACTGGAGATTAAAATGTCACAAACAAGATACAGTAAGTTTCAGTGAAAAGGTATAATCTGTTCTATAATTGGAAAATTGCAAACAATATTAAACCATAAGCCAAACAAACTGTTGCAATGCATAAACATCCAATGTTATATCTTAAAATCAATGACAGCTTAAAAATATTCTAAATTTGCAGGTTATCGATCAGTTTTTGTAAAAGTTCTCTCATATCTGCGATATTACAAAATGCCTGTAATATACCATTACCCTTTTCAGCCAGCTATAATTGGCAAATTACAAAGTTTTTTTAAGCAGGCACTTCGCTAAACAGAAACAGCAGAAAGAGTTTGAGAAAATTGATATAAACACTTAGGTTCCATAACTTTGGAATATCATGACATTCTTTTTCAGAAATGTCAGACAATGTTTCGTTTGGCACAACCCAATTTTTGTCATTCCTGACATTGTTGTGACTTGAAGAGAAATACCAAAAATAGTTCTTATAGCCTATTTTACCAAAAATAGTTTTTCTTTATGTGATGAAAAGTAATAAAAAGAATTATAAATTTAAAGTAAAAGTTGAATCAATGATAATATAACATGTCTTCCTTGCACTTGTAATACATACAATTTTTTGAAATGTCATATTTTTCATGCAATTTCAGTTTTAAACCATGTTATTAAATATCCTGTTTCCCTTATCATGCATGACCAACTCCCTTTAATAGTATATTCAAGCCGTTTTATTAAAATATTGTTGTTGTTTTCAGTCCACAGTGTGGAAGGAACTCCTCCTTGCTTGTATTGGAGAACAACTGTCTGATTTCACGGCTGAAGGCAAGAACTAACTTGATTATTACTTTATTAGAGACTATGAATACATTAGAACCTGCCATATCTGTTCACATACACAGCTTTTTACATATATTCTATGTGAGAACAAAAATTGGGGCAGGAAGTTTTGTTCAGATTGAGATTCTTGCTTATTATGTAGTTTCATTGCAGTATTATATTATCAGCCATACAATGTTTTTTGAAGATTTCAAAAAGTGCAAAACTGTAAGTTCTCTAGCCTTAGACCACATGTTACATATGTAATAATACATGTAATGTTATATTTTACATAGATTGTAAGTTAAAAAAGTATCAGACTTCAATTTCACCAACCTACACTTCCATTGAACTAAAATAATATTTATTCACACATATAGCTAGGCTTGATATGTCAAATTCCAGCCAATCAGAACACAGTATTTAAAATTGTACACAATCTATATTTTACATCAAAGTGATGTCCTTTTCCAGGAGATGAGGTAGGAGGTCTTAGTGTCAGTATAAGAGAGAGGGATGACGTTGTACAAATTTGGAACCAGAGGTCTGACCTAGCTGAAAAAGCCACAATAGTAGAAAAAGTCAAAACCTTATTACCTAATATTGAATTTTCTGCTATATTTTATAAAGGTAAGAACAATTGTGGTGGTGGATCAATGATTGCTCATTCATTAAAAACATAAAAACAGTACATATATAAATGATTAGTATATATACACCTTGGGATGAAGATCCCAATTGCCTGACTTATTGCCCAACTGACTTGGGTTCTAGTGAAACCTACAATCTAACCTCTTTTATTTAAAATCAGCTTGTTATGTTACCAATAGAAGTGGCGACATATTGTTATAGTCTTTTTTGGACTGTGTCAGCGGTTGGTTTTTGGCGATCAGCATCTGTAACAAATGGCAAGTTGTAAATATTTGCATGTTATTAATGCCTTGTTTCATTATTCTGAAACTGCATCAAGTTCTCAAAAAAATGTACTAATTTTTCTAAACATTACCCAATAATGATGATCTCTTGGCAATGTACTGTATATCTGTAATACATTTGAGTTCAGCATTTGATGGGCAGCGGTTGGCATTCGGCATTCAGTGGTTGGTATCTGTAACAAATGGCAGGTGGTGACATTTTGCATGTTAATGCCTTGTTCTTACATGCTATTTTAATCTGTGATCTGTGGTCTTTTCCATGTGTTTCCAAGTATCACTCACATCTTGATACTGTCTTGCTATTTGAAATGACAGATATCTGAATTTCCTGGGTAATTTTGAATGAAATGAAAATGTCAGGATCTGACATCATTATGTGAGTGTTGATGTATATGATGTTGTTATGACTACAGCAATGTTGTTTTGTTGTCATTAATTCACATACAGTCAAGTATTCCTCTTATCACCATGTGTGTTATTGTTGATTGTAACACTATTATGTTCTCTGATTTCAGCATTTACAACACATGAAGCATTTGAAGGTGCTAAGAAATTATGATTTCTCAAAGCTGATAGTTTTATAAGAAAAGACACCAGAGGCTTATTCAGTAGTATTGAATCCAAGAATGGAGTTGTGTGAAATGCTAATCTTGCTTTGTGGAGAGTTTATGGGGAAGTTTACATGCTGACCCATTTCCTATAACTTCCCCATAACCCACTTCCCTTAGAGGAGACAATCAGCAAGCTGTACCCTGGTAACCATAGTGATGGTTACCATGGTGAACAAGATGGTTACCACAGTTACCAAGGTGGTTGCCAATGAATAGTTGCTGAAATGTTAGCAAGGATGAACATATTAGTTCATATTGGAGACATGCCATATATGTACATGTAGGTGTGGAGACTTCATGGAGCTTTATGTATTATTAGTCAAAGAAAAGTATTTTATGTTTTTATGGTAAATGACAGATACGTGTTGACACTGATGATATATACATGTACTTCCTCCTTAGCAGGTATCCAGAATCCGTACATCCTTCTTCCCCTGCTATAACCAATTTGGAAGCGCCCGATTAAACTGAATCACATGATCTAATTATGCACAATGACTTATACATGATTTCTGTCGCAGTGTTGCGACAGCCAATCAGATTGTGAGTTCTCAATCGGGGAAATGCTAACTGCTTATCGCAGGGGGTAAAAAGAAAGAATATATTCTGGATTTTGAAGCCCTGTGATCGGAGGATGGATATATATAGATCATTGGCTTTCACAGAATTTATATGTAAAGATCATAGGCTGTCACATCATTTATATGTATAGATCATTGGCTGTGACAGCATTTATTTGTAAAGCTGGCTGTCACAGCATTTATATAGAGAGATCCTTGGCTGTCATGGCATTTACGAATATGTATAAATCATTGGTTGTCGAAGTATTCATATGTAAAGATCATAAGCTGTCACAGCATGTATATGTGTAGATAATTGGCTGTCACAGCATTCATATGTAATGATCATAGGCTGTCACAGCATTTATATGTAAAGATCGCTGTCACAGCATTTATATGTAAAGCTCATTGGCTGTCATAGCATTTAAATGTAAAGATCATTGGTTGTCAAGGCATTTATATGTATAGATCATTAATCACTGCCTGTCACAGCATAAATTATTGGCAGTCACAGCATTTATATGTATTGATCATTGCCTGTCACAGCATTTATAATGACCAACATATATAGTTGTTGGTCATTGGGAATGAAGTCCCTTCATGCTTCTGTCCATTTGAGGATTATACTCATCATATGAAAATTCAAAAATGATCAAGTTTCTACAACTCGGTGTGTGTAGGGTTATGGTCTATTCAAATACAAGGGTACTTAAGTTACATTCTATTTAAACTGTTAGTGGGATAATATCATATGAAAATTGCAATCACTTGATGTCAAGTTAAAAACCAATAAAACCAACAAACAAACAGATACATTAAGAGGGGAAATGAATTTAATCCGAAATTTAATGCAGTTAGTTTTGAAACATTATAGAAATATTTACTTTGTCCCTAAGCTGTAGAATCTTACTATTACACCCTGTGCATACAGTGCTTGCTTAAAACAGGTTTTGCAGATATACTATATGCGTGTTGCCCACTACCCATTTTCTGCTGGCACCGGCTACATACTAGGGAATTCTAGAAACAACATTTTAATGTAAAAGTTAATATGTTTGAGGGTTGATGCTTTATCATGTTTGTGTCAAGGTTCTTATAATGTTTGAGATTCAACGCAAAGCTGGATCTCTGAAGATATGTTTGTCAAAATCCAACATATCATGAATATTTGATATCCACATCTCCAAAAATAATATATTCACTTTTTCCTTATTTTCTTTTATGAGAAAAATTTATGAGAAGAATTGTGAATTACTTTTGTTCGTAAAAAACTTCTGAAATGTTACTTTTATCTTATGCATTTTTAGTCGGTAAAGAATTTTTTCAGGGGGCATTTCTGAAAAAATGTATAAACAATAATTCAGAAATTCAATTGTCTTTTATCTTTAACATCTTTAATGAAGCAACTACAGCAATTTTAAGACTGAGGAATTTCATGAATTGTTGCTTATTAAAAAGATTTTGATCCCAGATCCTCATTTTGGAATTGTACATAAGCAGTAAAGAGAGCTGATTAAAATGTACTTGTTTTTTCCACAAAAGTAATAAAAAATTAAACTCTACACCATTAAAAAAACTGCAAAAGTAAGCATTTTACTGCTCCCATAGTAATTTTTGACGTGACCCAAGTGTAATGACCAGAAATTGTTTCAGTTGTTTTATATCATTCATGTTACATGTTATATTTGTACAGAAACATCAGATTGTGTATATAGTGTATTTACATACTAAGTTGTTAAAGATGAACACCATATAACATGTATAATTGACAGAGTACATTAAAACATGTGTAAAGTGAACGCTTGGAAAAGGAAAAGTGGCATCTATACTATTACAGTTGTAATAGGTATTCACAAGAGAGAGCAATCTCTTTGACAGAAGACCATGAAATATGTTCTGAGAAGTAGTGTTCGCTAATGACAGGTTATATAGCAAGAAAGAGATGTTCATTTAGACAGGTTTTACTGTACTCTGTGATATATATACAGTACATTGAATTGTTTTACATTGAATTGTTTTACCACTATGTACCACTGTACTGGTTGATGTATCTACAAATAGACATGAATGAAGATACATATACATGTACTGGTATATACTAGCACACTTAAGGTTCTTGTTTCCAATACAAGAGTCACACATATGTACACACAATGCTAGGCTGCAAACCCTGTAAATCAATGGAGAAAAATTGATTGTTTAATATGTAATGAATGCTGTCCGATTATCAACAGTGGAATAACAAAGTTAGTTTCGTTAGGGGGTGGGGATAAATTATGGTTTCATTAGTGAAAAGTGTCTGAAGTGTTAAAGAAGAAGAGGCCAGAATTATTTTGTGCGATTAGAAGTTTGAGTTATAACTTATGAGTTCCTCTTTGGCCCTGCAATACACCGATCCTGTAAATCCTGCCACTTATGGATGCCATACTTACAGTTTAAGTTTAAGGCATTGGCTAAAGGGCGATAGAAATAATATGTAAATAAAGAGGGCAGGCCAATCGATCTGATTCTACCCTTGCTGCCATCTTTTTTATATCTGCCCAAATCCTATGGTTAAAGGACAGAAAGAGCATTAATTAAGTTGCCTTTATTCTTAAAACCTAAAAATAAAGGTGCATTCTAATTATAGCCAATAATTACCCTAGTTTTTTTGGTTGCCAAACGGAGCTTATAAATAGGATATATTGGAAAGGAATATTTATTAGTCACTATTGTACAAGGAGGATTGGCTCCCAGTATCGAAACTCTATATTTTCCAGCAATGAAAACGTTGAAATGTCGATATTTTCTGAAATTATATCAACCATAAATTCAAATAAACAGTCCTAAAGATCTTAACCAATATCTTCATCATTTCTTGTGAGTTTTGGAATTTTTGCTTGGAAAACAGACCAAAATTCACAATTCAAATGTTGAAGTGAACAAAATGGCAGTTTTTTGAATTTGAATTATGTAATCAGGACATGCCCATTTGGCAAAAATATCGATGTTGCACTCTGGGAGCAAATCCTCCTTACTATGTAGTTATGTGCAGATAACTAAATTGAAGTCCAATTTGTATTTAATTTTTACCAGTGGATGATAACTGAAATCATCACAATAGTCTTTGAAATGAAGTCATAATAATAGTCAGTGTATATTATTTTTGCAATTGTAAAAAATTATGTTTTTATTGAAATTGATCAGACAATTTCTGCTAGATGCTTAATGCTTTTGATGGAGCAGTTTCAAATTTGAATATAGATGGAACTGCATGTTTCTTTTCTTATTCTCTCTCTATCCTCTGTGCTGAACATTTTCAAGGCTTTCATACTCAAAAAATAACAATTAAAAGAAAGAAACCTGAAATTGGAAATCAAAGATAGAGGGCAGCCCCAAACCCTGTATGAGCAAACCCCCTCCCCCTGGGCTAAATTGTCAAATCTGAAACCCCTGGAATTTTGAAGCATTGATGAATGAGCATTGATGAAAACATGAAAATTTGGAAAAATGATATTTTAAACAAAAATATGTGAGATTTCAAATTACCTTTGTACTCTCTTGTATTTTGCCAAAAACAATTTCAACAAAACAATAAAATAAAAAAGTGAATATCGCATTTTTGCTAGAATATCAAATCATCATATGATATTCAATTTAAATTCTGACAACCAGGAGATTATAAATTGTATTAAATTAAATGGCATATGCATGTTCTATTCACTAAGACACTAAGGACTGCATTTAGCCTGTGTTACTATTTTGATGACTGTAGAAAAATGGCATGTCATTTGATTAACATATTTTTCATGAGTCTTGACAGGTTAATGAGGGATGTCATTCTTTAAAGTGACATTTTATGTAATCTAAAACAATTTCCTACTTGCTATTAATATCTTTTAATTATCTTCAATGTGACCCATGCCTCAGTCATTCACCCACAGGGCTAAAGAGGCTGCTGGGACTGGGGGAACGTTCAAATATTCACTGTAATCAAAATGAATCATTTTACAAGGTTTCTCTCAAAGTATTGATGAAACTGCATTATATGTGAATGCTTGAAAAAATTGCCAAATAGTGTTAAACATTATTTATTTATGTACAGAATTCAACCATTATTTGACACTGTCATACAAGATGGCAATTACTGCCTCAGTCAACAATCATCATGATTAAATTCATTAGTGCCACTTTTTTGGGGTATACCTTTTCATGAATGCATAATTTTAGACAAAATCACTACTCTTGCAACATGGGGAGTAAGTCACCCCTCCCTCTTATATTCTGTAGCTTATGTTATATAGAGTATCATAGAGGGGGTGACTTACTCCCAGTGTCTTGTAAAGCTAAATTGGAGGGTTGACTTACTCCCCGTGTCTTGTAAAGCTAAAGTGGAGGGTTGACTTACTCCCCGTGTCTTGTAAAGCTAAAGTGGAGGGTTGACTTACTCCCCGTGTCTTGTAAAGCTAAAGGTTATATGTTTAATATTGGCAGTTATATCACTTAGACTTGCTCTGAAAGTCTGCTGTAAAATATGTATGTAGAAATACATAAATCTTCATTTTTATTGGCCTGAAATAGAAAATATATTTCATATTTTTGTTTTGGAAAGTACTGAGGAAATGAAGAGTAAAAAGGCCAAAACAATATTAAATATAAGTCATAAAATGTATTCTATTATTTAAGGTCACACTTGTTAGCTCACACTATGAAAATACTGTTTATAAGGAATTTGTAACCATAGTTATTTTATTATTTATTATGTATAAAACAATGACATATGTGTAATACAATAACATATGTGTAATACATATATTATTTTATAAATTGTATAACAACAGTTTGTCTCAGTTATATAAATTATAGATTTACAGGGTGTTCCAAAAGTAACAGGACTGGTGCTGGCATTTTGTCAATTCTGCACCAATTGGTCCATGTTTAACAAAAAACCAGCACCAGTCCTGTTACTTTTGGAACACCCTGTATTTAATTACTCTTTGTAAAAGATGGTGAAGAAAAGGCTAAATAGATCATGTTAAAGCTAATCAAGCTGTTCTGTGCTTTATTTTTTCTGAAAGGATGTGTTCACCATAGGAAACTTAAAGTCCCCATGTAAAGTTTGAAAATATGTTTTTATCATTCATTTATTTATTATTTGTCATGACTTTAAAAGTTATATTAGAGATTTAAAAAAAGTTTTTTGAAAAAAAGATGTCAGCTGTTCATTTCTCAAATATCCAAATTTCCTGCCGTTTTTTAAAAAAAAGTTAGACATTTTTAATCATCAAATATTCCTCCATACATTTCAAAAAAGATTATCTTTTTAACACCAATGCAAAGATTGAACAAAGGACACTTTTTCAATAATAAAATGCCATATCTAATGTACCACTTCAATGTTTTAGCATATCAAAAATTTTAAACTTCAGTAATAAACCTATGTTGATTGTCAAACCAAATTAAAAGAAAGAATATATTATGTTTTAGATATTATTGTACCATTGGTTTCAATGAAAACTAAAATTTTGAAATGTTTTTTTCTGAACCATTTTCATGCATTGGTGAGTAAGACTACAATATAAGCTAAAGTGTTTTAAACTTTATATGGGATCTTTAAAAGATCTTTCCAATGAACCATGACATCATCAATCTAGTCAATATCACTCTACTATACCTTGAATTTGGTGTTCATGAGCAACCCATTTGGCTTATCAGTAATGATTATGTATTTGTTTTTATTTGTCTGTTCCTTATTAATGGCGTTGTTTTTCGGTTGAATGTTAGATGTTACTTAAGGCACATTCCGTATATCGTGTTTATACTCAAGTGAGTATATGATATATTCACGAGTGACTGAAGGGAACGAGTGAATATATCATATACTCACGAGAGTATAACGATATACAGAATCAACCATTATATGATCTTATTATCCCAACCTAATCTTTAATAAATAAATGGTTAATCTAAATCCAGTAGTTGTATATCAAGTCGAAGAGTTGTATATGCTGCCCAGGAGTTGTATACGCTATCCACAGGAGTTGGTTATCGTTCTCAAGAGTTGTATACGATGAGTGTTGGTTTTATATTGCAGTTATACAATGCTATTATACAATCATATAAAGCACTTAGGGTGGGATAATAAATAATACAATTAGACAAACAAAGCATCTTATTTATTTCTAGGTAGAGTGAATGTATCAAAGCTTCCTTGATATACACAGTGGCGTAGCCAGCAATTGGTGACCAGGGGTTCGATTTTTTATGTATCCACAAATCTCCCCCTTCGTCGGTGTACCTCACATAAAAGCATTTATTGTATTTGTCATACATACAATTTACACCCCTCCAAAAGTTTGGCAACAATTTGATTTTCTACAAGTGTATATTGAAATAGTTTTTGGTGAATCCTTTACGGAAAAGATATTGAAATCTGGTAGTTCTTGTTTAATTGTTTGTTTGAAATCAAAATCAGGGTTAGCATACATTGAGCCAACTTTTGTTAAGGGCAAATAATAACATATCTTTAAGGAACATATTTTTTAACAGGCGACCATTGAAAAATCCTCATTCCCAATTCATTCTTTAGAATTCAAAGATATGTCAAATTCTGACAAGTGCCTTTCCTTCACTTTTAGATGATTTTTGAAAAGATTCCAAATCAAAAGAATTTTATTTGCTATTTCATTTTGTAATAGAGGAGTTCATAATGACCTCATGAACCTACAGTTAGTTACTGAATACTAGTATATTCAATAACAAATATATTTGAAGAATGTAATACTTATTTAATCATGGCGCACAATAAAAGTCGTAATGACTGCACGAATACTCTCAATTGCCTCCCTTAATCCATTTATTTGCTAAACATATATAATTTTAAGTTTGATATTCTTGAAAATAGAGCGTATACTAAATACACTGAAACAGCAACAATTTAATCCTAAAATGATCTCCGAGATGAGCGTGCATCTGAAAAAACTGATTTTTTCGCAATGGATTTATTTTTCCTTAAAAAGTGATGGATGATAAATACCCACTCGATCAAATGCTTGTCTTCCCCAAATTAGACAATCCCACCCCATGCCTGAGGATGCCAATCTTTTGGAGAGAAGTGTAAATTTACTATTTCTATCCACTGGTCATATAAATTGAATATATGTTTCTTGTTATTGCAATGAATTTTTCCACAAATATTTTTTTTGGGGGGGGGGGGATCCCGACCGGGGATTCGTCCGAACCCATCGAAGCCCCGGTCCCTACGGCTATGTAAAAGGTGAAATGGTTAATTGGAAAGGTCTATCGCGCAAATATGATCATGATTAAAAGGTTAAAATTCCTCTTTCATTGCCTTTTAGCTTACATAATGTGTCTTTTGTTACCACCCACTTGTTTGTCAATTTGTCCATCCGTCTGTCTGTCAACAGATTGGCTCCTCAACAATTCAAATGGTTTCACTTTTGAAATTTGTGGCTATTAAAAGACTTCAAATGCCTCATAAATGGTGTCTCAAATGCATTTTTCAAAATGGTGGTCATTTTTTAGCTCTTTCTGGTCTTAACTCCACAAGTATTCCTTTAATAAAATTGCATCTATATGTACCTTATCTTATACGTAAATTTAAAATGGCCACCACATTTTTGCTAAAATATTGCTTTATGTGTTATAAATTCAAAAGTATAATACCGATTGAAATTGTACAGCTCAGCTTAGTGTACATGTATAGACTGACATTCTTTTGAAAAAAGGATCTTATATCATGTCACTCACACAGTCAATCAAATATGATAAAAACTTTTATTTGGGATAATACTGAAGTGAGAAAAAATTACTTGCAAAGAAAAACGGCATATGAAGTTCAGAGATTGAAAAAAGTGAATGACCACTTTTCGCAGTCTATGTTTTAAATAACTCTTGGATTAAAAGATGGCGTATGGTTGAAAATCCTATCAAAAATGAATGGATAATTAATGCAAACAACAATGCCATCTCTCTATGGCATTGCTATAAACTTGATACATATAAATTGATAGACATATCAAAAATATTTTTTCATGATCTAGTGTCAACTCTGATGTGGTCTGTTTGGGCTGTTTTTGGTGTCAAATGAAATATCTGGTACTTATTTATCCATTGGAAACACAATGAAGATCAAAAGTGAGACTTCATTTACGCACATTGTCCCTTTAATAATGGCTGTTGAAAACGGCGGCAAGTTTTTGTGAAACTATCAGGTTTTTAGTTCATTTTTGGTCATAACTCTACAAGCATTCCATCAATTTGCTTGAAATTTTACACAAATATTTATTAATTTGCTTGAAATTTTACACAAATATTTATCAATTTGCTTGAGATTGGACAGACAGCTAAGTGTACAGGTTAACAAGAAGCAAAAAATTATGTTTTCAGCTCTTTTGGTCATAACTTCAAAAGTATTCATTCAACTTGATTGAAAAAAAGTAAACAATAACGTCTGGATGTTTGTACAAAATATGTTGCAAAGATTTAAAATTGCCATCACCTTTATTATCATATCAAAATATCACTATGTGTATTACAGTTATTAAAAATTGTTACATTGATTTACTTGGAATTGTACAGGTAGCTAAATGTATAGGTTAACAATAATGTCTAGAATGTGTTTTCACCATGTGAGCCCAGTACCCATGATACTATTTAGTTTGTACTTGCTTTTGATGCAAATGAGATTTTCTTAAGTACTTCAAATAAAGGTATGAGAAAAGTATGCTTGCAGTAGTTGCCTGAGCAGTAAACAAAGCCACCACTGAAGACAGTAAAATGTCAAATCCAAGATAATCTAAAGCAAATGGTAGACAAGCCAATATAATGACTTGGCAAATAGAACTCAATGTTAACATTTTGGTGTCTTTCTTATGCAGTAAAATTCCAATGGAAAACAAAGCAAATGTTTGTATAATTGGCCAGAATGTATACAACTTAAAGGGATAGTATACTGCAAGGAAATTTTCTTCAGAAATGTGAAATAAATATAAAAATATAGCCCTTGTTATGGGAGTAATCCAACATATTGCCATGGAAATCAAAAATGAAACAAATGCAATAACTGAGACACAGATAACTAGTCCATGGTCAAAATGTATCGATACATTAATTCCTGATGCTAGGTATGCAGATATCGTTGTAGCAATACAGTCCAACATCCTTCGCAATGAGTAAAATGATGTATAAAGAACATGGATGTTTGCCAGCTTTACGCTTCGCATAGATCCAAATGCGTGTCCAGATGGCACCAGTTGTGCTACTACAAAGCTGAGGATAAAAGTTTCACATTTTTCGATGAACTCTTGCAGGCCTAGTGGTATTGTTAGTTTAATTATTTGATGGTACGTCAGTTTCTTTGTACTTTCATCAGGAAGATCGTTGATCAAATACATTCTATATCCTTTATAGCTAAATAAAAGATAAACCAATGCTGCTACATATGCTGATATTATTGGTATCAAAATAGGTCTACTTATAAGGGGGGTAGCCATGAGAGAAAATAGCATTCCCATTTTTGAGATGAACTTCAATAACTCAGTAAAGACACAAAAATAGGTATGTTTTTTCTTTAATAATAATCCATGGATTGCAGATGCAATATTTAAGATCATCGAGAGAAGACAGAGGGATACCAACCCAAACTGAACTTCAGCAAGTTCCCGGTCAGTAATATGAAATATCAATTGGATGATACATCCCACTGGTGTAAGACCAATCACAAGAAAAATCCCTGCCGTGATGGTGCTACTGCAAATCACAAAGATCAGTCCTTTCTTTAAGTCCATTTTTGAGTTCACCAATACGATGAATCCTTGGGTTGCCTGGCTTGGTGATAAGTATGCACGAATAATGCTAGAAAAGCCACCTACCAATGATAATACAGTTAATGATTCATTTATATTTCGAGTGTACGTCTGGCTCAAACTGTCCACAATTCTACCTAATGCTGGCTCCATATTTGCAATAGCAGTTGGTATAAATATTTGAAATATAAACATACATTTCCCCCAAGAGGTATCAGTCACATCACGTGCGTTAAAAGTCATCTCTGTGAAGTGTTATGTAGATTGAAATCCCAGAGAAATTCTGCCTAAAATGTATACTGTATGAAATCCACTGTATATACTGACTTCTGAAACCGAAAAACCGAATTTGCCTTTACTGTACATTAGTTAACATGACCTGTCTTTCTAAAAAACGGTTTACAAATGGCAACACTTAAAATATTTTTATTCATAATATTACCTCGGTACTATAGATGTCTGATCTTTTTGATGAACGTAAATACAGAATAAAAAGGGGGTTTTGTGTAATACATATATTATTTTATAAATTGTTTGACAACAGTTTGTCTCAGTTATATAAATGATAGATTTATTACTCTTTGTAAAAGATGGTGAAGAAAAAGACTAAATAGATCACGTTAAAGCTAACCAAGCTATTCTGTGCTTTATTTTTTCTGAAAGGATGTGTTCACCCAGAGGCAACGTAGGAGGCTTAATAGACCTTTCCAATAAACTGTCACTTTTTGATACATCAAGTAAGCTATGATATATTGGTTAGATTGATGATGTCATAAGTTGTAGGAAGCAATCTGTCTAAGCAAAATAGGCTTATTGCTCATTTTGAAAAAGTTCAACTTAAAACATCATTAATCTTGCCATTATTTCATTTTTTCCTTGTTGTACTAAAATGTAGCATTTTTTATTGTAAAGGTCTATTGCGCAAATATTATTAAAACATTTCAGGGTGAAATTTCTCTTTTTTTACCTTTTAGCTCACATAATGTGTATTTTGTTATCACCCACTTGTCTGTCAATCTGTCTGTCCGTCTGTCAACACCATGCTTCCTTGACAATTCATAATTCACAAGACATAAAATGTTTTGTTTCAAAAGCTTGCCTTTTTCAAAATGGTGGTCATTTTTATTGCAAAAATCTAATTTTCAGGTCTTTTTGGTCATAACTTCACAAGTATTTCATAATTTGCTTAAAATTGTGCAGGTACCTTTTCTTCTAGGTTTGCAATTAAATGTCCACATAAATGCCTCACAATGATTTAAAAAGCTGCCACTTTTATTGTTGAAATATAACTTTTTATGTTATAAATTCAAAAGTATACATGATTTGCTTGATATTACACAGGTTTAACAAACAAGAAGCTTTGACAACATATCTTCTAAGATATTCGTTCAATTTGCTTGAAATCGTACAATCAGCTTAGTGTAAAATCTATAATGCATTTTCACAATGTGAGTCCAGTACCGATGGTACAATTTATGCACTTAAAATTTCTAGATCTAAGTACTTCAAATAAAGATATGAAAATAGTATGCCAGCAATAGATGTCTGACGAGTAAACAAGCCACCACTGAACACAGTAAAATGTCAAATACAAGATGATCTAAAACAAGTTAGGCTTGGTAGACAACCCAATATAATGACTTGGCAAATAGAACCCAATGATGCCATTTTGGTGTCTTTCGTATCCAGTAAAACCCCAAGGGAAAACAAAGCAGACATTTTTCAGAAATGTGAAATAAATTTGAAAATATAAGCCTTTTAATGGGAGTAATCCAACACATTAATATAGAATATAATTCGTGGTCAAAAGGACCGTCAGTTGTGTGTAGAATGAATCATGGAAGCTTTTTCATGCATTTCGCTTGTATTTTTCATCTAAAAAACATCAGAATACCTTAAAACATTTTATTGACTATAGGATTGCACTATATAATCCCCAAAAATATTTCTCATTTTCAAGGATTATCTTTGGATTAATTAACACCCAGTATTTTTATTTTTGAAACTTCAGAGGGCTGGGAATCATTGATTACGAATGCTTGTGAATAATATAAATGGTGTTGTAATAGGTTTCATCTTTGTCAATAATTTCTCAAATTGTGTAAATGGTTACCCATTCTTAATCCCAAGAATTTTCTCTTTGAGGAAACTCCCATAGTAATCCAATGGTATAGTTCCAAGCAGATATTGAGATAACCTTAAAGTTATCATTAATACACACCTCATTGGCTTCTGATATAAACCAAAGCAGCCCAAAAAGGTTTGCATTGACCTTGACTTTGAATTTTCCATGACCCCATTATGCTTTGGTCACATTTGCTCCGATTTTCACTACGGCGCCCGGCCGATTGAGTATGTTGTTCAAAATTGAATACAATATTGAACAAAACACTCAATCGGGCGGGCGCCGGCCGATGGATCGGAGCAAATGTGACCCAGGCATTAGAGAGGCAAAGTTTCAGAGAGTCATCCGTTATGCCTTGGTCACGTTTGCTCCGATTTTCACTACGGCGCCCGGCCGATTGAGTATTTTGTTCAAAATTGAATACACTATTGAACAAAACACTCAATCGGCCGGGCGCCGGCCGATGGATCGGAGCATATGTGACCAAGGCATAACAATAACTCAAAATCCATTAGGCAATATGTAAAACACAATCCTTTGTGCTCCCCAATGATCTCGGTGTGTACTGTTAATCTAAAAGCTTTTAAGCCATTTTTATAATTGAAAGCTCTTGGTAATCAAAATTTATAAATACACATTATGGTATACGTTAAAATAAGCGTTATTGTGATACATGCAGTCCCCGTGTGTATTTTCTTGTTTTGGACTGAGAGGGGTAATGGATGTTAGTGCTTTATAACTAGAGATTGAGGTTATTTGTCTGAATTAGCACTCATTTATTAGTAGAGTTATTTATTGGACACATAAATATTGCGATATGCGATAGCCAATGTCCCTCTTTAGATAATTGGATCAGAGAAGAGGCTTATTCATATTCATTACCAGCAATTTTCATTTTCCTGTATTTTTTCCAAAGTGCATCCACACTATAAAATATTATTTAATTTTTGGGTCTTGAAAAATATTTAAAATGCGCGGCATTTTCAGCAGATCTAGTCCTCATTTTTAGAAAGTGGATCTAATTATACGTTCCTCATTTTTAGAAAGTGGATCTAATTATACGTTCCTCATTTTTTAGAAAGTGGATCTAATTATACGTTCCTCATTTTCTAGAAAGTGGATCTAATTTACGTTCCTCATTTTGAGAAAGTGGATCTAGTTTACGTTCCTCATTTTTAGAAAGCGGGTCTAATTATACGTTCGTTATGAGCTCAGTAATGTAGAAAACAGTTTAACATTGACATTTAACATTAAAATGAATATATGATAAACATATTTCACATATAGCACCCAAGGAGGATAACATATAAATAACAATCTGGGATATACACTATCCATCTGCTATAAAAATAATAAATCATCTGATCATTCGAAACAGAGCTAAAAACAATGATGAGCGACGAGCTTAAACCTTCCTGCATAGGTAAATAAAAAATAATTTAGTGTAAAACATGACGATCGAAAACTTGAACGCTAGCAGAAAAATTGTGAAGTCAATCCTGAATAGTAGAGTTAAATTGAGATGAAGCGTTCTTAATTACACATACTTCAACAGAAATCGTGACACTTCGGAACTTTTCCGAAGATTCTGAAGGAAAGAAGTCTAAGATCAACCTCTTCTGTTTGTGCTTCGGCGATCAGCGTGAGATCAATTACTTTTTAGCAATAGTAATCCCATTTAGTAATTGATTCATAATATGAGATTTATTCAGAGTAACTCTCCACGAGGAACACAACTGCCAGCTGAGCCAGTAGAGTAGACAGATAGGCACAGTAGGAGATAACCGGCACTGAAAAGAAGGATTTTGAAAAGAAATATGTTTAACCATTTATGGAAAAATGAATTAATTCGATGAAGGAGCTCGTTAAATCTAGACCAGTGATTTAGGAAATTGTCAAAAATAATACGTAGGTGCTCTGACTCTTGGAATTAGATTGTTGAGACGTGACTCATACTTTTTACATCTTTGGAGTTAAAACTCGCTGAAACATTGATATTTGACAATATTTAGTTTTGCGAAAGGCACTGTAATAAGTCGATGCCATAATCTAACAAAAATTATGAACTGAAATATTCCACGTGTATCTCAAAAGAATTTGTCTTGTTTATCTTTAAGTTAATGTGGTGGAATTCCTTGAGAGGAAGAAGATAGCAATGGTAATGACTTTATAATACAATACAAGTAAACCGTGACAATGGTAATGAATGACTCTGGCATCCATGAAAATGCAACATCAACAGAGAGCGTTGCGACATATTTCCAGGAGGATCCGGCATTACATTATGCATACTTTATATCCCTTTGCGCCACTACGCTTGTCGGAAACATTGGGAATATCCTCGTCATTGGTGCAGTGTACTGCGACAGGACGCTGCGCTCCTGTTTTAGTAACATATTCATCGTAAACCTGGCTGTTGCAGACCTTTGCGTCACAATGATCGTTGACCCCATGAGCATCATGGGTGTCATCGTTGGTGATGATTTCTTCAATGAGAACACAACGCTCTGTCATTTTGTTGGGAGCATCTGCGTCACGAGCTGCGTCTGCAGTCTCTGGAGCATCACGGCTATCAGTATCAACAGATACGTGCTTATATGTAAGAACCAGCTCTATAGAGTCATTTATAGTCACAAGAACTGTCTTATCATGTGTTGCGGACTATGGCTAGCTGCATTTGCTCTAGACATTCCAAATTTCACCGACTGGGGCAATCATGCGTATGATTTGAAAACCATGGCTTGTTCATATGATCGCCTGGCCAGTTATTCTTACACAGTGTTCTTCATAATAATGTTTGTTACGATGCCTCTTCTGACAGTTCTGTTTTGCAACATCAACATATTCGTGACAGTTCGTAAAAGCAAACTTAAAATAAAGACTCACCGTAACAAAGTACAACCAGCTACAACGTCGACTGACTTTACCATTCGCCTACAAGATGACGATGTCTCAGTTGAACTGCATAATTCGGAGGCGATCACAGATGAGCATCGCAATTCGGAGGCGATAAAAGATGAGCGCCATAATTCGGAGGCGAGCACAGATGAGCGCCATAATTCGGAGGCGATTAGAGATGAACATCATAATTCGGAGGCAATCATAAATGAACCCGACTTGAACAGGTGTTCAAATACAGGTACTATCGCGAAACCTTGTGGAAATGATAATGAAGATGGAGTACAATCAAGAAATGACTTGCATGGAAACATGCACTCAGGTGAAAAGGACAGTAGGTCGCACGCTAAAAAGGGCGTCTCTTTCCATATGGCAGATGGACGCGCTACAATGGGATCACTTAAAGAATATAGATCGTCTAGATCGAATAAAGTAAAAAACAGTGACGTAAAACTGGCCAAAACGTTGGTTATTGTTTTCATCGTGTTTGCCGTTTGTTGGGCTCCATACGCGCTAATCTGTCTAATTGATCCAAACGACATAATTCCGAAGGCCGCTTATGTTGTCGCCATTCAGTTGGCCCACTCAAGCAGCAGCATTAATAGCATCCTATATGCTGCGCTCAATAAAAACTTTAGGAATGGTTACAAACGTTTTCTGCGGAATGTGTTCTGCTTCTGTCGGAAATTAAAAAAGCAAATGTAACTGAATACATATAAAAATGTACAGTTTTGGACCACCCTGTATAACCATAATGTGCACAATCAGAACAAAATTATATATTTTTGGGATTGTTTTACATTCTATATTAGATAAATAAACAGGAGATGTGTGTATCATCAACGCGGCAGCTATCGTTGTCATTTAATTAGCTGTCGAATCAGTCATATTACCAATTTATCATCACCTCTCATTCGTGGAAAACAAAATTGCAATATGCAAATGTATTTTTCCATCCCATAGTGTTTTGCATTGTCTCTTTATTTCCTCATAGATTACAAAAACAAGATTAAAATATACATATTCATTAGTTCTGCTTTTTATCGCAGAAGTTGATTAAGTTAAATAAACCTATTTACATATGTCTGTTATTGAAATAAAGTTAACGTATTATGACAGCATTGCTTTGAGTGTCAAATCTCTTGCATGCATGAAAGAATGGACTCAACAAATTGATTGTCAACTAAATGGAAATCGACTTTGCTGTCGAGTATTGTTTCAAATACCATATTTACATTCATGTCAATCAATCTGATATAATGTTCTAAGGGCAAAATGTTCAAAATGTTCAATGAATTCATTCTTTTTGTTTATAAACCCACTCCATGACATGACATATGTGATCAATCATCGAGACGATACTATACTTGTTATGTCACCACTAGAAGTTCGGCGTCTGTAACAAATGGAAGGTGGTGACATTTTGCATGTTAATGCCTTGTATTAATCTTACACAGCGTTGACTTTGAAATGAGTTATTATGTCACCACCAGAAGTGGTTACTTATTGTTATAGTCTCAAACGTTTTCGGGGACGATGTTCGGCGGTTGGTGTTCGGAGTCTGTAACAATTACATGTGGTATGTTGTGTGTAAATTCCAAGTGTATTTTGGTAGTGTAGTGAAATACATTAGGTTTAGAAATTCCAATTCATGCAATGGAAGTGTTGCCCTTGGTCCAATTTTCCATAGAGCAGAAGGTTCGATGGAAAATTGTATTATGGAAATTAATGATAATTTTCCATCTGCATTTACTCTGGCACGCCACTCAGTTTCTTCATTAAGTTGGATTTCATCAATACATATTTTTTGCTTTGACCAGTGACCAAATGTTGGCCAGATCTGAGAAAATTGTGAATCTAGAAACAATTGGTATGCTATCTAGAAAAGATGTTTCAATATAAATGTATTTTCATCTTTGGTTTTTATTTTTTCTCTTTATTAGAGAGGCAAACACTATATGTATACATATACACGGTTAAGTTACACAATACATGCCTTTAAAAAGGCACCCAATGGTTACCCTAACCTCTCTCAAACAAATTGTTAAAAGCCATCAATTCTGTTTGATTTTGTTCTTCATTTACCTCCAAATACCTAGAATACTAACATGTGATCAGATATCCTATATTTTTATTGCTAAAATAAATTACTGTTAAAAGCGTTTTTACTATTTTGGAATTTGATATGAACTAAACGCCGTATGTTTTGTTCAATGAACATCCCATTGTTTTCCGCTCCTATTAAAACATGGAAGGAAACTATTCCGACTAATGATTGTTTTCTATATTTACTTATTTAATGACCCTTTTCGTTTCCAGTTTGCATTTAGATATCAGTTTTACATGGAGTCATGAAAGTTAGGTCGCTTGTTCATTCATTTTTAGATCATGGACTTCTAATTGCTATTACTCTCGGTGTAGAAGGAATATAGTATTCTCTACATCTCCACAAGTCGTAACATACGAGGGTTGTCCCAGAAGTAATGCACTATATGCTCTAACTTTATCAATAATTGATATTTTTCCAGGAAATTTTCAGGAAATGTTCCTTAGAGACATTTTGATTATTCTAAAAATTTTCATGTTGACTGATAAAACTATATTGATGTTATAATAAAATCAAGTTGGTGAGTTTGGGTAGGGCGGGGCAGGTTATACAGTCACGTCAAAAGGAATAAAAAATTGAAAATATGAAATAATTAATCGACAAATACCATTTGGTGTAGATGTAAGAAGTATGCTCAAAAATACATTTTAAGATACTAAATTACTATGAGCACATCCTAGATTTAATGGATGTATATTGAACAGTGTCCCATTTCACATTTTCTCAAAATATTGCCCTTTGCATGTTATGTACTTTTGATGCCTGTCAGGTCAAACACTCTCGGCAATTTCTTCCACTGTGACTTGTGGAGTTTTTGCCTCCCATGTTTGGAGTTGTCATACAAGGTCAAATTATCTCTTTTAAATCTCTTCTGCCACCCCATAATTGTAGTTCTATCTTGTATATACTCCTTATATACTTTCTTCATGGTAGCATTGTTTTGCATGGCTGTGAGTCCAAGTGAAGTATGAAATTAGGCCACCAAACGCAAGGGCTTCTGTTGTCAGGTGAGAATTGCAGCTATTTTTGCAATTTCTTGACTGTGACTGAATTTGAATTTGTGACTATTGAAATGTGGTATTATGGCATCACAGTGCTAAATGTCATTATTTGTACTTGGTTAACATCATGCTGAATAAATCTAACAATTTCCCAAACATTTTGACCATTTAAAGGAAAGAAATATTAGTAAAATAACACTTTAGATATTTTAATAATTAGAAAAATTGGTACCTGCCCCGCCCACCCCTACCCCCATGTTGTTATAGCAACCATATTAAGACTTAATATTAATGTTGGATGCTGAAACTTCAGGAATTAATAGATAAAACTTCAATTGTCATATACACAAAATTTCAGCTGAATTGAAGAATATTAAAGAAAGTTAGAGCATATAGTGCATTACTTCTGGGACAACCCTCGTATAAGCTAAATTGTGACACATCCCCTTGGTTTATGCTCAACTACTTCAAATCTGGACTTCTTGGATAGCCCTTAAAAAAGAAAAAAGGGTGGTTATCCAAAGAGCAGTGAAATCTGTACGGACAATATGTAAATGAACGTTTTTATGTGTGACACCATCCTCTGAAATAATAAACGGAACTACATAGGTACCCGTATAGATATCTCGAGTGTTATTGACTTTTCGGCTTATCTCTACTAATCCACTCGAGTTAAGCCTTTAAGTCAACAAACCGACCCTTCGCTAACCCTAAGGCCCGATAAGAGGCTTCCTAACCCCCGAAAATCGACCCTATTTCCCTCCCCCACCACGCCCCTACCCAGGGTATAGTTAGGGGTGAAGTTTTCTAGGCCTAACCTAACCCCCCTAAACACTTTGGCGCGGGTCCCGTCTCTCTAGCTCTTTCCGTTCGGGAGATAGAAATCGGGCTGTCGGAGCCGCTTTCTTTGATCTCGCCGACACCCCCCTCCCTCGCATATTCAGGCAATTTTGGTTATACCCTTACTATACTCCTCCATTCTTAACCCTAATCGCTATAACGGATAAAATTGGTTTTTACCGAACATAACATTATAATAAAAAGTAGTAGACTGATTTCACGTCAAAATTCTCTTGATACCACACAATAATTGTAAAATAAAACTCCCTAATAAATGATGTCTTTCATTTGTCGAAATGTAGCCACATCCCACATTCTAACTTCTGTGAAGTTTTACGTTTTAAATCATATTGTCTGTGCCTGCATGTATTCTTAGCTCAAAATAGTGGCTGAATTTTACGAACTGTACATTCGACATGTACATTAAATCAAAACTTGTAATCATAATAGCATAGTAGTCTACATTCGTTAAAATTTGTTAGTTTTCTTTCAATACTGACAATAACATTTTCATTCAATAATGACATAACTAAAATATGTTTTTAATACATAAACCACTATATTCTGTTATATTTTGTTTTTGTTTCGTGAATTACTATGTTTACAATATTCTTGATGATTACATGTAACTTAACTATCTTATCTAGTATAACTATAAACAAATATTTTACAATACATAGTCTCTTTGAATAGTGCAAGTTTGAAAAGTATCAGAATGTGATCTTTGGATTCTGATCTGCATATCAGAAACATAACGTTTGACCAAACCATCGTTCAATTGCGTATTTGAACAGAAGTCTGATAATATATCTTCTACACGTCTGCCTTTGCACCACTGAACAGAAAAGTATATGGTGTATTGTCCACACACTGATGAATCCCAACTTTGAAGTCTTACTGAAGTCGATATAATTTTCCTTTTTAGGCTCTTTGCAAATGTTTCGAAATCTGAGTTGTAACAGTAATAAGACGGTGCGTGGCCGTAGGAATCTACAAAATACACGTTTCTTCTGCTATCTGGCTATCTCTGGGTACTATAAAGAGGCACCAATGTTGACCCTCTTGAGATGTTTTGTCTGTATTACTAACTAATATCTCGCACTTTGGAGCATTGTGTAGGACTAAGCTACGTAACTCATCGCTACCAAACACTCCGCAATGTTTATTTTTGGTTAAGTTATTGCTTTTCAAAATACAATTAATCTCCTCCGTGTTCATTTCGTCGTTAAATCAGTTGAATATAACCTTTCCGGACTTGTCTATTTCGAAGACTGTGGGGAAGACACGAACTGAAATGTTATCTTCGATATTGAGTTTACATGGTTAAGACTTACAAAGTTCAAGCAGTCAACTTATACCAATACTGCGTTGATTAAATGTAGTTTCCCGTCCATAATGACCATTATAATAAACCCATTTTCTCAAAACGCAAAGAACCATATTCTAATTGTGTTTTGTATTTTTATCGACTTTTTCATGTTTACAATAATCTTCACTAATTTAACTATTAATAACAAATTTAATCCGCACATTCTCTTCGGAAGCTGTCAGAAGGTGATCTTTGCCTTTTTATCTGCATATTTGAACAGAAAGTTTAACCAAGCCATCGTTCACTTGGGTATTTGTACTGAAGTCTGATTATATATCTTGTACAGACCTGGCCTTTCACCATTGTACCGAAAATATATCAGTATTGTCCACATACTGAAGACAAGGCATACTGAAGTTGAGACAACGTTTCTTTGTAATCTCTTCGT